TGAGCCAGACTTGGCAGTACGAGACCATACCAGATCAGGAGTGCTACAGCAAAGGCTGGCTAACCAGAATAGAGCCATATCAACCCAAACCCCGGCTCTGACGGGGTTCCCTAAACACCGGCCAGTCTAGCATTTCAGAGTTGCCGCGGCAAAACAGACTTGAGCCAAACCAAATCGCTGGCTGGGCATAAAGTCCCTACCCATATAAATAAGGCCTTATTTTACAAGTCAAGCAGAAAAATGGGGTGATTGTAGCACTTTCAGCCCAGTATTCCATCAAAAAGGTCATCTAATTCAAAAGGCTGGGAGCTCGTCAAGTGAGGATCGACCAGGCCAGAGCCTTCCTAATCCTATCGTATCAGGTATCAGGTAAGTAATTGCAAAACAATGGTAAGATCATTTTGGCTTAACATAATGGTGCCTATAACTGGGAGATTGCCCGGTATTTCCGTCCATATGGCAAAAAATAAGAGCCCGCAATGGTGCTCAATGCACTTACCACTGCTAGAGAATCATGGCAGCAAAAACTGCATTGATGCTGATTTAGCACTATTCTATCACATTAATGACTGACCACTCCCCACCAGAAATAATTAATTACCTGAGAAAATAGGAAAACATCCACAACATCCGACGGCGTGGCCCGATGAACATCAAAACATTCTTCAAGGTCAGCCTAACATCAGCACCATTATGTTCGAAATTAAACGACAGACAGCAGTTGCCTAGCGACATGTTTCAAAAGACACTCTTTCTAGCCAATTGCTAGGCAACACACGACTGTTTGCAGCGTGATTAGAAACCTGAACACAGAATTTGGTAAAGCTGTGACGGCATTTACAACGCTTTTGTCATAATCAATTTATGGAAGAAGCTAGCAAATTAGTTACGTTGTCTTTACTTGCTGCAGCATGTGACTTTCTTTGATAGCAACGGCTAAAAACTGGTATGGGTCCTCTGTGACCCGCAATGTTTGTTTTAGCGTTTGCCGTTGTTTATTCTAACTTACTCTTTTTATGAATACTTTCGTTTTTTAGCCGTAAACGTTAAAATAGCCTAACAGACGTTTGCCCTTAAAAACTGCTCATAGATGGCAGCAGCAGTAGGCGCCTGCAGTTATGCTGTACCGCATGGCACAAATACCGTATAGGCCTTGGCAGTTGGCACTTGGCATAATATGCCAAGTGGCATATCCCGTGTTTTTATATGCCTTCGCCCAAATGACGTAACGATCATGCAAGTAGTTAATCTCCCCCTCCCGTTCGTTGGTGCCTGGTGGGAGTCTTGAGTTTTAGTCGCTCCGGCAATCGACAGATGGTAGACTCCCAACAGGGATGGTCTTCGCTGGGTAGGACTTGGGAGCAGCCGCAGGCCGCAGCCTTATCGCAGCCAGTTCATCTCTTTAGATCTCTCTCAAGCACCCTTAGTACGCAGGAATCCTTCTCAAAACTCCAACCGCCTTGTTCCAGGCTGGCCAGTTAGTGATCAGTACCTAATTGCCATGCTAGCCTTGCTCAATCAGTTTACAGTTTCATTTATACCGAACGTACCTATAGTTCGGCTCAGATCGATTTTAAACTGAATCTTATACATCACTCGTCGACTCTACGTGACAATGGACCCACAATTCAGTCCGGAATTTATTTTTGTTATCGTTCCACAACATGAACTATGTCTCTTTTTACTCGTCAGTAAATTTAAAAGGTGAAGATGTTTTGAGTTTTGACCTCCGTCCTCACCCGCCTCGGTTTCGTTCGTCTCATATTTAGAGACGTCATGTACCTACGAGTGTCGCAGCTTGGTTTCCATCAATAATGCCACAATCGCTCACTGCCGTATAAAGTACGTCTTCATAATAGGATACTCGGACCAATAAACTAAGCTATTTTATTACAAATAAACAAGCACGACAGGCTCGTCGGCCAGCATAATACTGAAAACAATGAGCAAAACACAAGGTGACAGCGGAACAACACGATCGATACGCCTCCCTTCAGAGGGATGACATATGCACCGATCACAATAACTTAATCTACACGGATGGTCGGGATGGATGATGATGGTGAACCACGGAACAAAGTATAACTAGCGAGTACTTGTACTGAACGTCCGCCGCAGCGCTGGCGTCGACCCCGGGCGCCGGTCGCGTCCCAAATAAATAGCACCTGCGGGCACCCTGTGACTGACGGCGCCGGCTCTGCGTAGAACGGCCGTCCGCAGTCTGCCGGACGGAGCGGCGCCGGAATGTGAGCCGCCCGACCGCCGCCAGCCCTCCCCAGGAACATGGAGCCACGTCCGCCCGCCGCGCCGCCCGCGCCGCCGCCGAGGTAGGACGGTGAAAGCGCAAAGCTGTAGTGCTCTGCTCAGTTGATAGATGTCGCTGCCGCATGAGTTTCCGAGTGCGGCGCCGCTGGCCGCGATCACTCCTTACACCGGAATTTGCTGACTTGAGTGGCCAGGTTGAAATAGTCCTCCGCACAGTTCCACGGGCAATGACATCTGGAAAGAGCGAGAACGTCGTTAGGCCACATATTCACAGCGTTGAGACTGGAGGGACATCCAAACCACAGAGAAAGCCTCCAGTGCTCGACATATCACTGATCAGCCGATCGACAGAGCCCGTGGCAATCCCTTCTGACTAATGAGTCCCTCGGCTATGGAAACTTGTGACATTCCTACAATGCGATCTAAAACCGATTTATCAGCTCGCAACCTCGTTACAAGTGTAGCATGCTTAGGTACTCTAACTTACATAGGTAAGTGATCAAACACTACATAACGATTCCCAACTTCCCCATTTCTACATTATCTTCACTCCGAGATGTTAAAGTAACCAATCGGCCTCTACTATTTGCATCACTGTGCTCGTCTGTCTTCCTTACGTTTGCACGAAGCTGCTCTCGTCGTCGTAGGCCACGCCGAACACACGGAAGCCGCAGATGCTGCCCAGGTTGCACTTGGGTAGCCGTGACCACCTCAGGTTGCTGACCTCCCGCGGCTGGCGCTGTAACAGGAGAGCGGGTGAGGTCAGGTGGGGGCTGACAGACCTGGATTGATTGGGGTAAGGCTGATGTTTCTGCGGGTCGACTAGGGTATACGGTGTGTTCTGATTGACAGGTCGCTCAGGACAGCTATGAGCCATGCCATCCACATAACAGGGGGGGGGGGATTGTGCAATGCTGGAAAAACATGGTCGATAGGAATTAAGTTTTGATGAATTGACAAAATTAACACCAACAGAAAATAAATAATCGGGTTAACTCTCGTGGTAGAGCTTTTATCAAAAAGTTAATTCCTGCATTTTCACCAGAGCGCTGTTCGTCACTGAACGATGAGCTTTGCACGGATAAACGTTGACCGCATTGACCGGACTACCTCCCGTGAGACGGTCCCACTTCCCGTCAGACCGGAGCGGCCGCCGCGCGGGGCCGCCGGCGGTTAGACTGTGCCGCAATGGCCGGCAGCGCGCGGTACAGCCTACCCACGCAGGGACGAGCGGCCAGACCACAGCGCCGGCACGCGACGGCGTGTAAAAATAGATCGCCGAAACTGGGCCTGTCGCGCGGGAACGCACCCTCGGCCGTCTGCGTGAGTCGACTGTTGCTGAGCGGGAGGGTGTGGAGGGACCGGGGGTGTCATCCCGGGGTGCGCGGCGGCGGGGTCACTGGCCTCGCACGGTCCAGAGACCGGTGTCTTTCCGACCGAAGGCGGGAGTGGATGACGGTTTGTGAGGTACCCAGGCGTCATCCCGCCGGCGGCTGACGACACCGACGGCCGCTGCCAACCCTCCAAGGCCCCTCACGCGCTCTGACGGCTGACGTAACGTCGGACTGGGAGGAGTTGGACCGCAAGGCACGCACACGATAGCGAAAATGTTATCTTCGCCGGCCCGGCTTTGTCAGTGCACGGGTGCCACAGGAAGTCGCAAGGTGGCTCACGGGCAATTAGAGGAACGCTTTTGAGAAACAGTTTACTTCTCGGTCAGCTCAAACCGTCAAATGAAATGGGACCTTTCCACATGTCGTTTTTGACGCTGATGAAAGGAAAATGAGTCCTAAATAAAATTTAAAACTTTTCAAAAAAACTTGAATATCTTGTTACTTTGCATGGAAAATGTTAAATGGAGGTCAGCTCAAGAAATTGCTCGTCAGACCAACATTAGGTCTTTGATAGCTGGGCAGGTCAATAAAGACAGGTAGACAAACGGTGAACATGCCATCTGGCTGACAACCGTTTTACCGCGAACACTGAACACTGCAAAATGCACATGTAGCTAACCTCGGACACCACCGGGCCCTGCACCATCCGGCACCACTCACCGCTAGGACTGCGCTGTCGGCCGAGCTGATCACCAGTGACACCACAGTCACCAGCAGTGCCGCCGCCACCAGATTTCTGCTCGAACTCCGCTGCATCTTGTGTATCTGCTGTTCCTCCGTCTGTCTTCCCGAATGCCTGTCCGTCTGTATGAGCGTGCGCTTACGCCGTCCTGCGTACTGCTCCCTCGCCGCTGCACAGAGACGAGTCTTGCCGTGTCGCCGCCGACTGGCTGTTTATATAGAGCACTGTGAATGGGAGGCGGGGCGCGGAGGCGCACGCTCATTGGCCGATGTGTGGCGCGCCGGCGGTGGCGCGCGCTCTCAATGACGAGGTGCCCCGCACCCGGCGACGAGCGATGACGCACGAGGTGCGCTACTGTCGCGCCCGGAGATGTGGAGCACGGCCGCCCTGCGCCGGCCAGCTGATGAAGCCACAGCTCTGCATGGAGACGGCTCAGGCCTTCTGAAGGACGGACCGGCCCGACCAGGAGGTAGGGTACGACACTGACACGCATGGCTAGGAGGACACCGTCAGAATCAGACAATAGTGATATAAATCACATTACACATGCTGAGCGTGGTTGTGACAGGTCAATATCAAACGACCCATTTTGCATCGCTCTCAATCACTGCAATGATTTACGGAACGTATCAGCAGGATCCCCGTTTCAAACAAGCAAAAGTGGTTACTTGCATATATTATAAGTATCCGTGTTACATGCATATACAGAGCATACATGAGCACCCCGGTCCCTCAGGCGAGACCAGAGCCTGACATACAGGTGGGTCGCCACAACTGGCCCCACCGCCCGCGGCTCTGGCCCCCAACTAAGTACCAATCCGCTACTGAGACAGCCGCATGTCCAGCACATCTGATCGGGCACGCTCACTGAGGTAGGCGGTGCAGTTTCAGAGACAGCTAGATGGGCTGAGATAGCGAGCGCCGGGGGTTCCCAACTGTGTATCACGATGGGGGATCTTAGCTGGCGTCTCTGTGCCGTCGCACCGCCTATATTGGAGCGCCCATCGGTCAGCTATGCCCGATTCTCGGGCGGCCGGGTCACAGCCAGTCCGGCTCGGGTCACCGGTCACTGTCCCAGGGGTCAGGGACGCCGGGGCATATCGTTCAGATCACTGGGCCACGCCGGCCCGCCGGCCGCGACGGGCGGCGCGCCGCCGGTCCTCGGACGCACTGCGTCGGTCATACACTGTCAGACAGTTCACAGAGCGATACATGGACTCATAGATACACCGGCCGAGTACAACACATATGACATAGGCCGCCGGCTGATGGGCAAAACTCCTCACCGACCCACACACGGCGGAAGTTCAAGGAAGTAAGACACGGTGATATAAGACGGGGGCGGTTTTCAGATCCGGGACCTGCGCTTGACAGCCGTCCAAGCCACGCCAAGCCGAGGACGAAGCTGTGGTATAAAATAGGCACAAGCACCGACACCAGCATTCAGTAGTCACCATACCGGCTCACTCATTGGAAGCCCAGCAATGAGCGAGTTTTGAAACAACTTCATCGAACAAACAGAACTTGGAAACTACTACCAAGATAGCAGTTCGTTCCTGCCATTTTGGTGTGAAAAACAGCATTCGACACTGCATAATTGCTGATGCACCCCTTATATGAGCATAATCGTCATGGTATGAAACTTTAAGCCGCATAACAAAATCGGTCACACGATTGGTCGTCAAGAAACCCATTCAGAAAAAATATATCGGTGTCATGAGTAGCATACAAAAGCAGCGAAAACGGTTAACGACCGCAACATTTTGCGAGACCGTGAATAAGCCAAATACAAGGCAGCTAGGGAGCTCAGTACAATGCAATTATGTAACTAAACGACCATGATAAGCAAAAAGAAATAAAACAAAGCACGAGTTGTGGTCCCCAACTCTCCTCAAGGGCTCTACTCACTCAGACTCGAACTTCGAAACTAACTACCTAGAATACTCACAATAATGACGAACGCACAGCATATTTGATAAAGCCTACATCTGGGTCCTGCACCGTCTTGCATATACTCCGTCCTACCCTTTCCTATGCTATCCTCTCCTGCGCCCGGCTTTATAAAATAGGACTGGACGTCGTTCATAACCGATGGCAGCCGGTCCTCACGGGGACCGGGTAGCAATGACCGCTCTTGTCCACTGAGTTGTAGATCGGTCTTGTCCCCACCACCGCCGGCACAGTCATCACAGGTACGCGGGCTCTCATGGACTGACACAGCAGCTTTTGATGACACCCAGCAGAGTACTATTGGAGCTCGGAGACGCCAGCAGTAGACTCAGGTGGCCGCTACAGGTCTTCGTGGAAGCATTGTCAGTCTCCGCTACGACTGAGGTTAGCCGGAGACGGAGACGGAGACGGGCTATACCGTCAGCAGGGAGCTGGTCTGTCCAGCCAGCCGGGGCCTGTGTCTTGCATAGGTTGAGTACACCGACTGTCCCGCGATCCACCAGCCCAGTTCGACCATTATGTCACAAACTCAGCTTAGACGTACCGAGAGCTCAGCTAACTATGGGGGATATCAGGGCACTCTCACCCACCTACCTACCGACCACGTCCTGACTAGGTCCACCGTCACCTACTGTTCCGGAGGCGGCTGCGCCGGGGGCGGCGGCGGCTGCTGTACCGGGGGCGGCGGCGGCGGGCGCGAGGGGATGGACAGCGGCCGCTCGGGCGAGGCCGGGGATACCGCCGGCGGGGGGAAGTCGACCGCCGAGCGCCGGTTGAGCGTCTCCGGCGCGTCTGAGGCCCGGAGGGAGAAGTCGCGCACCACCTGGTTGAACGTGTCGTCGTCGCCGATGTCGGCGTCCGAGTCGCGCAACTGGCTGACCCGCAGCCTGGGGAGGCAGGGGGACGGGGCACGTCAGTTAGTGGGGGGGGGGGGGGGCGAAGAAAAGCTGCATGTTTTACTGCGTTATGTCCATGAATTTCGCGATGGGATGAGAGAGAGAGAGAGAGAGAGAGAGAGAGAGAGAGAGAGAGAGAGAGAGAGAGAGAGAGAGAGAGAGAGAGAGAGAGAGAGAGAGAGGGAGGGAGGGAGGGAGGGAGGGAGAGGGAGAGAGGGAGAGAGAGAGAGAGAGGGGGGGAAGGGAGGAGGGAAGGAGGGATGGAGGGAGAGATCCAGCTGTAAGTGTTCATCCATGTTCTCTGTGTCGAGGTGATTTTGTGGCTCGGTGTTCGAAGGAACGTAAAAACGCTAAGGTTATATAAGGTACTTCATTTATTCTTTAAACACCTTCGCGGAACCCATCGACAAGGCCAAAACAGGGCGCCTTTGATCAGCGGTCTCGGAAGTCCAGGGAGCCCTCCCATTCATCGGGTGTGTTATTGTGTCGACAGAGACCCAGGGGAGGTGGTCGCCGCAAAAACAGCGCACACCGCCAGGCCGCTGAGGGACCCTCCGTCTTCGGCGGGGTTGTCTGACGTCACAGAGGGAACCCGGTTACGTCCGACGAGGTTACCGAGACAGGAAAGCGCACCTCGAGGTACGCTACCAAATACCGACCGACTGATGGCATCACTCTCTGCTCTCAGCATGCTGCGGCAGGGCCGACGAGCCGGGCAGGGTCGGAACTCGGCGGCACACATTCCGCACCGCGTTACACACGAGAAGGACGAGTCTGCTCCTCTGACGTCAAAGAATGACTGTGCCGGCGCCGCGCTGCGTGGTCCGTGCGTAACTGGCGCAGGGTGGCCTGACTGAGATAACCACAGGGGATGACGGACAGGAACCGCACAAGGACAACAGGACCTGCGTAGTGAGAGGGGAGGGAGGGGACCACTGCAGGTCACTACCCGGTGTGTGCCCACCAGTCATCTCAGGGAGGGGAGACGATTGAGTTATCACGTGCAGAGCATTGCCCTCTGCATTGATATCACGCCGGCAGCTGGGCTTTAGCACGTGGAACGGAATGCCTACTCCTTGCGAACGCAGCCTTGGTATTGCATCTATCAAAACTGAGCCACTTCATTTTCAGAATTTCAAAAGAGTATCAACACACAATTTGCCCATAAGTATCCATCGGAAAGGTAGTCAAAATATCCCATAATTGTATAACGTTGACAAAGATCAAAACGGCGACGCGTGACAAAACAATTTTATTCGATTTTCGACCTTTCTCAGCGACATTCCCCGGAGAACGTCCCCGATTGAGGCGATGTTCTCAGAGCATAGGAGTCCGGGCAGACCGTTAGAGCCGACAGCAAGCTGGGTTTCTTCAAACATTGACACCCTGAGTGCTTGGATACGGCGATATGGAACATTCCAGAGGCGATGACTGGCCGATGGCGTCATGTGAGACGGTCCACAGAAACGGAACCGATAGAGATAAGTTATATAACGAATAAGTTATTAGGAAAATAAACACCAGAGTCCCGCAAGACAAGCAATTCATGAGGGAAAATTATGGATTTTTTCATATATCTTCAGAGCAGCACCTGTTCACATGGTTAAAGTGCTCGAATTACATCATAACGCCGTAGACATGAACAGCTGCTCGTTCACCAGCCAATGTCTGTATTTATCGCTCCTCGGCCGTAATGGGTGACGAAAATGGGAGGGAGGGCTCGTCATCGAGTCCAGCCGCACTACCTTCCCGATGCGGTCAGAGGCGCCGGGAACAGGTCCATGTGCGCCGTGTCAGCCGCGTGGTGCGGCTGGCGCCTCCCACTATAAACGACCCGCCGCTGTCTGCGTCACGTGGAACGACCACGCAGAGCACGTGATCGGCCGACGCGCCGCCACAGACAGTCGGCGCTGGCGCACTTCCAAACAAACCGGCCGTCACACGAACGAGGGCATCTTTTTAGACGACGCGACGTAGTAGGTACGCTAGGTCAAAGTCTTGTCTGCGTTCACCTCAAAACATAAATATCGTCTGGTAAAAGGCACGGGATTGTAGGCTGGCAGTTTACAAACGGTTGAAAGTCCAGTTAGAACCAAAACGGTGGGAAAATTCCAGTTAAAAACACTAACAGTTAGCAGGTTCACCTCAAAACACAAGAAACAGTATCGATTCATTGCACTCGACCAGCCTAACAGCATTCTGCAAGGCTTTTGATAAATAGGAGTTAACGGCGTGAAATTAAGCGCTAAGTGGCGAGAAATGAGTTGAGCTGAGCCGGACATTTGGTAAACAGTGCTTTCTTGGTGTTTTAACATATCACAAAAAAATATACAAAATTAATGTACCTACCATCCTTAGTAGCATGTATCTTTCTAATCACCAAACATCTGCCAATACTCAACAATTGCACCCTCGTTACAGCCTGAAGTGTTCACACACCGCGGAATATACGCCTCGCCAGTCGCTTCTCAACGCCGACCGCGTCTGGCCGCCGGACACCGACAAAAAGGCCGGCCGGCCACCGGACAGCGGCGACTGACCAGCCATCGCCACGCCACCGTCGGCTATTACCTGTTTTTCTCGCGCCCTCGCACGCCGATAGCGGCCATAAATGCTGTGTAACTGCCGGTAGCGGCGGCATTAGGGCCGTTTGAGCCACCTGTAATGGCCTGCTGGTCGGACTGACACCTGTTCGTGGGGCACGGTACAGGCGCGCGTGGCGGCCCGGGCGGCCCAGCGCCGCCGGCGACTCGGGAACAGTCAGTATGTTGAACACGCATACCCAGCCAGGCCATGTGGGCACGGCAATGGAAAGAGGATCGAAACACGTGAAACAGTGTGGGAGGTCAGCAGTGGTCAAAGCAAGCGTCAGTCCTACAAAGCCTACAAAGGAAATGCAACCGAAAGATCAAGCCCTTCGATGGTTTGTCTTGTTATCAAAACATGCCCAAGAAGTTCGTGTAGTTCATTCATGTCATCTAGCACCGAGCACGGGTGAAGCAATTCAAGCTCCAGACTGGAAGGATAATCCGTCATCTCCCGTCAAACATCGGCTCGTTTCTCGAGCGATGCAGCTCGTGAGGTGTGCCTCTCCTCCCACGGAGCCCTATCACCGACCCCAGCTGGCAGAGGCCGTCCCTGGCCGCAAACACCGCTTATCGCTGCTGGCGGAGCGCGGCGGGACGGCCAAGAGAGCACAGCATCCGCTGCGGAAAATAGCGGCCCGCGGAGAAGCGTGTATCGGCCGGTCCAGGCAGCTGATGTTAGACTTTGACCGGCAGGTCGACAGGCACGGGGCCGGTGCCGGGATCTAACGGCCATGACCGTCTCAGGGGACCAGCCCGCAGACACAGAAATCTGCGCACCATCACCCCTGGGACCGGTGTGATCCGTAACTGACCGGTGATGACCTCTCGGGGGTGCGCAGCCCCAATGCACCCGCACCTATTCCCAGAGTCAATATTGTGGGTCAATGTCGCCTCTGGCCCTCTGTCGCCACTGACAGGGCGGTTCCTATGAAAATAATCGCCTCTGGAGGGGCGGCAGCGCGGTGCGCCGCGACCACACGCGATCCGAGGGGCGCTCTCGGGGGTCCGGGGCGATGGAAAGTGACGTCAGCGACCAACCGCCCTCCGAGGGGCGGAACCTCGCCACCGGAAACGCGTGGTGAAGCCTGTGACAGAGATGGGTCGACCACCGGCAGCGATCGGACACATACGCGCTCTCACGACCGCTGGTGGGCACTCGTAATGAGACGGCCACCTCAGACCACATGCAATGACGCATACACGTAGCCAAACACGGCCTATCAGTTTTTTTTTTTCAGTATAAGTTCAGTATCTCCTCCACCAGATAGTTACATTTCCTTCCAGTTACCGCTACATTTTCTGGTCCATTTTCTGTTCTTCCAAGTTCAAGACCAATCAGACTTGTAACTATCTTCACATCAAGTCTTTCATCCGAAGAGGGATGCCCCGGTTATGATCTGGTAGTTTTACTGGCCGAACGTTTGAGTTGAGGTTGACATTTTTGTTCAGAGCTATTGAATTACCTGTCAGGAACAGGCGGTGGCAGGGGAAGGGGAGGAGGCATACATATTTCCATTTTCCTTCCACGCCATTTGTTGGATGGTGAAACATGCATGATTGTTTCGGAATAACAACTTTGAATACCCCAGCCCAGATACTTCTGATTACATAACAAGCATTTCAGTATGCTCCGACTAGCCATTTGCAGTCATTTACGGGTACCAATGAGTTTCTGACGAGTTCCATCGGTGATCGGTCTGTTGGGCGAACTCTCAGAAATCCGGCCGTCGTGGCCGGCCTTTTATTCCCACGTGCCACCCCCACCTCCGCTTCCAGTCCTACGAACCGAGCGACGCCTCTTTAGACATCTCAGCGGCACGCCACTGCCTGCCTTCTATTGTATTCTTGGCGCGGCGATCCGCACCGCATTGTCGTCTCTGATACGCTGCCGGATGACTGATACTCATAGCTGAACACGTCCCATTGATGGACCCCTCCGAACAGCGCCCTCAGGATATAACATAATTCTCTGATGGAAATGGTCGACTTATTATTAACGCAGTCCCTACATAGTCGGAATCAACGCACCAGATGGCACCCAGCAATCCGAGATCACTGAGAACACGACACGTTACCAGTGAGACGCATCTGAGTAGCAATGCGCTGCGTGTTAGGAGCGGCGACCGAGATGGTATGTGAGCATTGCTTTTAGAGCCTTCGAGCGACGGGGTCACGGGCTGCACGACAACTCACTCCATCAGTGCAAAGACTTATTACCAGCCTACCTCTGTGTTAGAGCTCACTTCTTGTTTCATGTGTCCCATTCATAAACTCCGACACTCGCATACCTTGAGAGGTTTTCTCAAAGTTGTGCCACCGCAGGCTCGATTCAGGACAGGAGTGAAACCGGCGACCGGCAACTGTTGAACTGAAATAGACCCGGGCCAGGCATCCGCCAGAACTCATCCACCCACGGACACTTCAGCGCAACTCGAACATAATTCGCACGTGCGTCACAGGACCTTCGTAACTTCTGTGATGGTCGGCTCGAAACGTGCATGCTTTTCAGGGTCATTAACAACAGTTCAACGTCCTAAGTATTCGTACATGGGGCCGGGGGCGATAAATCCGGTCATTTCTAATGGGGAGAAACGGTCTTTTTTTGTACCCGAATTTACGATGGTAAAAGCAAGGAGCATTCAAAACCATCTACCCGAGTGAGCCGCAAAGCTAATGCAGATGCTACCACAAATTTGCAAGTAATTCGCGCCAGTTATCGATCAAACTCGTCTTACATAAGACACAATTTGGATACGATAAAATCATCCTGGCAACGACCTGACCTAATAAAAAGAATTTCAAGGCCTTCGTAAAGATATTTTCCACTAGCATCCACGCAGACGGTGCCTGTCTGCAATGGATCGCTGAATAAATATCACCCGGCGCCCAATCCACATACATCGCGGGGCCCTACAGACAGCCGACCGCTGTATTGATAACAGAGTTCGGTTTGACCTGCCATGACCCGCAGTATCCGCCGCGACCTTCTGGGTACCGGCGTGGGCCGCCCCCGATGGGCCCCTCGTCCGTCTGGGCCCCAAGGGACCCTGGGACCGGCCGACCCGCGCCCGGTCGGCCAGACAGACCGTTTACACTGAGTGGCGACACGCTATCGGCACGCAGGAACGGCGACTACGTTTACCGATCAGGGCGAGGGGACTGGAGAGTTACACCGCCGAAACGCTGCGTCTCCATGGTGCGTATTAGCGGTTCCTGGAAACACGCTACGAGTTAGGTAATGAGTGCCAGACCGACTCGATAATTTATGTCTACGTCTGAGTGATGTTGAAACCCGGCACTTCTCTCACAAAATTTGACATGGCCAACGATAATCAAATGATGTAAACCAGTATCTAAGGGCACAGGATGCTTCTAGTACACCACCGCAAATCCGTACAATTCCTCCCGTAAAAGGAATGCGCAGCTGCGTTTCTTCGACTGCTCCTGAACGACCCTCTCCAGACATCTGGGACGAGCATCATAAGATTACACGGAGCGATCTGTCGGGGTACCGGTGGAGTGTGACATGAACAATGCCGCCGCTTTACGCCCTTAAAGTATTAATAAGCCGACAAAAGCCGCACACATTATTGCTCAACCTTATTCCGGTTCTCTGATGGCCATTGGTAAACGAGCCTTTGCCTATCCTAGTCAACAGATTTTTAGACGGAACCATTTATTATCTATTGACTTGGCCATGAACTGACTCCTAAAGAGGCACGCCCATCTCTGTATCTGGTGACCAATCATACCCCACAATATTTGGTCACAACTGGACCTAGCAGCGGTGCCAATGGCCAGCCAAACATTCCACGCCAGCGTCTGGTGATTTTTAACCTGTACACTGTCCTCAGTAACCCACAACAGCCGGCTGGGTTCAGAGGTCCGTACGCTGCACCCCGTACCCGGAAACCCCACGGGCTCTGGTTCCGGATGGAGCCCGTGACCTGGTGTGCCGGTCTGCCTGGGCGACACAGGCGCGAACCACCGCTTCCCACCGTCTGTCGGCTGTATCAGTTGACTTATCATAGTAGGTCCCGTTTATTCATCTAAAACGTCCTCGATAATTCAAGTTTCTAAAAACCTATGCCTCACTTGAGTCTGCCTCATTGCATCAAGTTTTCAACATGGTATTATGCATGCAATCGAAATCATTGTTCTTACGATAGTGTTTCGTCTTGAGGAAAACATCCTTCCCCAGATGTCATGAGCGCCAAATGACAATTTTCGTCAGTAGGACAAATTCACAACATTTGTGAGACATTACAAAACCGCACCATCATGCTACATGGCCCAGCAGGGCCAGTCAGCTACTGATGCCGTGTGCGACCGGGGCCTCCAACAGACATACACACCAAGATTACTTTACTGGGCAGCGGGGTTGAGTTCATATTGCACAAGGTTGGATGGGTCTGGAGTCTGGACACATGTCTGGGCACGTGTCAGCCGGCGTCGAACCAGTGAACCTTCAACCTGGCGCTGTTAAGCCGGACGGCAGCCTGCATGGTGTGTGTATGTATAGTGAGGCGCCTTGTGTATACCCGACTGGGGTAGCATCGGGAAGGTCTCCGAATCGGCCAGTCCTGCCATGCAGTGCATTGTGCAATGAGTGAACATACACTGCAAAGTTTGCCTTCTGTGTTTCTGTGACACAGTTGCCATTTAATTCAACACTCCGAGAAGAACCCACCACATTTTCACCACATTTAAGCGAAATAATAACATCTTCACGGACTCTAAAGGTAAAAACCACGGTCACCTATCAAAAACCAGCTCTTCCAACAAATATCAGCTATCGGGTCCATAGCGCGTACCCATTATCCACCGGCCATCTAATGGCTCGCGTCGTGCGCGGCCGGTCCGCTCCACGGCTCCGCACGTCCAGCGGATATGGACATACCACACACGGGGTGTGCGTGTCTGCGGCACGCACACGCCTCGCACGCACCGGCGGCAGCCCGCCTGGAGACAGCGGAGAGGAGAAGGAGAAGGAGGGGAGGAGAGAGAGGGAGAGAGGAAAGGGGAAATTCCATAGCGTGGCCGGCGGAGGAGCACCGGACGTCGGCGAGTCGGGAGAGGTTCAATAGCTGCACTTCACCCGGTTTGAGAGGAGGGGAGCGGGCACTTATTGAAGGTCATTGAGAACAAGGGTCAGAGGAAAGGTTTTCCCTAGTGGCGCTCACTCGCATCCGGAAGGCGGGATCAGCAAAGCCCGCGTAGGTAGGTATGTAGTGTCGTTACTCTCAGCCGATTAGAGACACACAAACCGACTAATGTTCTTGAGCAAAGGGTGAAGCAGAGCAATGGGTAGCGCAATTATTGCGATACACAAGCCCTACAAGAAGTGTCAATGTGGCGCGGGGTAAAACATGCAGCTGGCTGAAAAATATGTTTCGATACACATACATTACAGGCCCCTAAGTTTAGGGTTATTGAGCTCGAGGGTAAAATTAAGTTAGTAATAACAACATATATTTTTATTCGAGCCATGCAAGCTTCAGTTTGAGAATTGGGTTAGAAAACTCAAATATTCACAGCAAGACGCGGTAGACAATGTAAATATGCGCATTGGGTGCACTACGCTTGAACCGATCAAGTAATCACATTCAATATTCAAATAAAAAGAAACAACCATCGCCCCGCAGTCCGCAGTCCTCGCCATTCGCCACATCTACCGCTCAAGTTTCACCAAAGAAAATATACTCTCTAACGCGCCAGCCACCGGAGATATCATTGAGCCGCAACGACTAACACTCTGCCGTCCCGGGCGCCGCACGGAAGGCTCCGTTCCTGCGAGCCGGCGCGGCGCAGAAGGCTCCGTTTCTGCGAGCTGCCGCACGTCACCAACTCGCCTGTTCCTTCCGCGCCCCGGTCTGCCCGGAGACAGGCGGGTAGTGCGACACCTTGTGCGTCACCAAACGTCCATTAGGGGGCCTGCAACAACACTGCCGAGCGGATGGCCAGGCTTCTGGGAATCGGCGCCCGCCGGCAGGGAGGACGCACAGGGCCCGCAGAGAGACAGTTCTGCCCGCTCACTTCGGACAACAAACACTTAGTCGACCGTCTCACAACGAGCCTCGACTTTTTTATAGCGACGGCTAACAGTTTGAGTTTCTAGAAGTCGGGAGGGTGTTTGTTTTTACGCCTTTTGCGGCCGAGGCCCGCCGGTTTTGCGTGCGACGAAGCACGTCAACTATCAACATTGAACATGCTAAACGTTTTCAGAAGCTAACTGCCCGTAAGGAAACTATTACCAACAGTTAAACACTCACACATGTTTTCAGGAGGATGGTGGGTTACTCATGAACGCTACCAGTACCAAAACAATAACCAATGGAATCTGAATGAGAATCGCGCAGCAAACACCGATTCCTTTTGTATGTTTTTGCAATAATTCACCAAACATTAAATTGTCACATAAGGATGCTGGTGAGATAGTGATGCCAGGATTTTTGGCAGAGTGCTTTAGCACATGCATATTTATTTTCTGTATCAAAGTGTCTATTTCTGAGATAAAATTTGTAATAAAAATTGCACATTAACACATGATCTTTTGCTAATAGATATAGGTACCACAATCTTCCTTACGATTGCGGGAGAACATGATTGCATGAAAATATTCCGTGTTCAGTGTTCAGCGCCTGTGTGTTGTCCTTGCCTTTTGCAGGCGGGCACTTCAGCGCATATTTTTGGGAGTTTGCCAAGTTCCAAGCGCCGTAATTGGTATTTGGTAGTTTTGGCATGCTGAACAGTGGCCACATTGGGTAGGCACTTGGCAGCCGACTGATCTCACGGGCTCGGCCCTGCGGATCGTGTACTCACAGTGTGACGATGTCTGCGTTGGTCTTGTTGACGGCTATCTCCAGCGGGTCTCGGCCAGCGTCGTCCCGAATCCGCTGGTTGGCCTTGTACTTGAGCAGCACGCACACCTGACCCATGTTCTCTGGGGAAGGCATGGCTTGAGCTAGCTTGGGGTCACGGGGTCAGCATCATCCCCCCACAAACCTGGCTCACGCTCTCTCGGGAAGACATGGCTCGGGTCAGCTAGGATCGGGTCAACGCGAGGGACAGCATGAAACGGAACATTGGTGAACTACCTGCAGCATCGCATGGTCCGATGCAATATGAAATATGAAAGCAACAACGAGAAAGAGCTCTAAAACTGGGAAGACATACGCTCAGTGGATGATGGCACATCTGCAACGGAGCAAAATTATTGCCAGAATACGAGCACAACAAATCGCAAAAGAAGTGTTAACGAATTCCAATATAATTCGGTTTATTTCCATCTTTGGAGAGCTCCTTAAGTATCAACGAGCTTGTGACCGAAATCCAGAGAGGTCAGTCAAAACTCCTTCAAGTGGACTATATGGTAGCACCAAACATGCAAAACACCCCATGGTCCCTCCGTCCGTCGTCTCCAGCACGTGTGTCGCTAACACTCTAGGGACTTCGCCGTCATTCTCTCCACCACTAGCTCCCCGTGGCGCGGTCATTCAGCGTTATACCTGTCGAGCGGTACCGCACGCCAAGGCCGTATATAGGCCGCACGCTACCAACTGATGGTCTCAATCACCCACTGTACTAACGGCCGCAATACGACCGACATCGAGCCGCGATGGACTCCCTGTCACGTTCGGCGGACAATACCTGCCCATGACGGGCATTCCACAGACGGACAGTCGGCGGAAATGAGACAGAACTGCGAACCGAGGGCGGACAGAATGGTCAGCCAGACGTGGTCCATCCCCGGTGGCCGTATCGGTGGATTCATCAGCGGTGGATCGGCATCCAAACGAGCGCAGAATACTAGTAGACGAACTAAGGGCCGCTTATAGTTCAGAAATAGCAAACCGGCAGATCAACAGCATTGAATGACCGCGCCTAGAAAATCTCACAAGCTTTAAATAAGTACAAGCGCATGCGCAAAAAGAGCAAGAACGATGACTATCTCAAAAGTCACGTTATTGTGTCCGCTGTCCATCGGTAAGAACACTAAAAGAAGTGTGTTGCGAGGCAGAAAATCACCTTTCGTGTTTTTCACTGTTCAGGCGGCACAATACAGATGTCAATGTCACCGATCGCGCGTTAGATGAGCCAGAGTTTAGTGGATGAGCCAGACAGGTCAGCACCGTTGAATGGGAGATCCCAAGGCAACGAAAAAACGTGCGCGTGGGCGACTCAACGGATAACTATTAACTATATTGGATCTATCTGTAAGAATCTTGATTGGATCAGCAAACTCGGCAGTGTGTCCAAGACTGCGTGGGAGGCAGTGCCGGTTACAGAGCGTAACAACTTACCAAGAGCCCTCGACACTAACCCTAGATCATGGGCGAAGTGATCCACGCCCCTTACAAACGGATCTACCGCCAATGTTCCAGCAATAATGTAAGGCACCTTTTCTTGCTGAATGTTCATGTGTCTACGGTAAATGTAGGAGCTCACGATGCTTACTGCTTCGTGAGACACACCAACAAGCACTTCCTGAGCCACTGTTGGTGCAGGAATACAATCGCACATGACGCAAGCGAACACTCTACCCGGCCCATTGCCCATCAGTGTACTCCACACGCACTGAGCTCGACCGGTGTTAACAGCGGACAAAAATCTGCTCCTTCCGTTTCTCTCAGGTGCCCCCCCCCCCCCCCCCCCCGGTGTGCCATCGCCAGTCTCACGACCTTGTCATTTCCGACAATGACGCGGGGCTGGTCATAAACAGGCTGCACCGTTTGTCTGTTTACTCCACGGTGTATTATCCTCAACGACTCCTCGGTACAACCTACGAACCCACCACTCTGTGTACTGAGGCCTCCCATCGTCGTACGGCGACCTCAGATGACATCACAGACACAACAAACGGCCGTCGACCACCTCCGTACGACACAAATCATTCCCTATCGCCCCCGTTCCGGGCCCCAGACTCTGCCGACAGACAGAGTCCGGCCTCCAGGGATCGCTCGACCGAGAGCTCCCTGCGAGAGGCCGGAGGTGTCGGAAAATAAACTGAATCCGGGCGGCCGGAGCACGGAGTGGTGCTGGCATCACTCGCCCTGTCAGCCGGCCGCACGTCTGGCCGACAGGTCAGGGGCCCCCTCAGGGGCGCCGCAGGGACGCAGCGGGCCCCACGGTGGTACCGGAGCCAGAGTATGAGCGGAGGTGTTGAGGGCGAGGGAAGGGAAGAAGAAGATGTTGTTATGAAAGAAGAAAGGGAAGGAAGCATCAAAAGAGCAGTCACGAACGATAACAACTTTCTGAGTAGAACAATGTTGGAAAACTGTGATATCGATAACATCAGATCAGTGATATCCCAATCGAGGAAAAAAAGACAATGTCGCATGCTGATCTAACGTCCATGGACAGCTGCGACCATTATATAACTAGCCAGCCGCAGTCAGAGACCAGGAATTGTTCTAACATGGTGAATTCCCGTTCATCCCCGGCGGTTCGACGGGACAGTCAGTGGATAATGAGCCTCGGTTAACCTCCAGCGGCTGATCGTGGCATGATGTGATCTATCAAACAAGCGGTCACCAGAGCCACTAAACAGTCAGAGCGGCCCCTTGCAAGCCGTTGTCAACAGCCCGGGAACGCAGGTCGGCAATGGAACAAACAATCATAGATTATCGTGCTCTTCGGAGCGATTGTTGCTGTAAAACGCTACATTAGGTGCTTTGTCGGTTATTTGGCCGTCGTTGTCATTCAAAGATGATTATCCGTATGAAATTGCGGAGGTTCGGCCAAACAATTGTGATGAAACGATTCCGAATGCGCCAACAGTCGGTAGAATATCCACTGACGCATTAAACTGAGCCTGGCCTACACATTAAATCCTCATAATCCCTCCCCCGTCTCCAGTAAGAAAAGGAATAAAACAGAACGATGAAAACATTGCAACAGAGAAATGAGTCAAGGGCGCCTACGTGCGTCATGTTTTGTATATTTACACTCTGGGTTTCTGTTTTCATCAGGGAGGTCCGGTGACGTGAACTACTGCAATTCTGACTACACTGTGTGTGTATGGTGTGTACTGACGTTATCCCTACCCCGGCCGCACCAGCCAATACCGGGCGCCATGATGTGATTTCCGAGACAGGCACGGGTGGAGACGCCCATAACCCGTGACTCGTGACGTCACTACATCCCATGACTAGTGACGTCATCGGTCATAGCCGACATCGTTACACAATCCCCAGCTGGCGTACACTCGACCAAGGCCTCCTCTGACCGCACTATTGACATACACCACCCGTCAATCCGCCCTCTCCATCCGCAACTCCAGACACCCAGACCCATTCGTGGCCAATGACTAACCCCCGTTTGCCAGACAAGGTCCATTTCGCCAGTCTGAAGGCCTTTAAGAGCGTCACAGAGCCATGAGTTCATCCCACCGTACACACGCCACTCATCTGTGGCCTGATGACCTCCGACGCTACCTACTTCCGAGTCACGTCTGGTTTGCGACGGTGTGAGACATAACACGGACGAATCAGCCGAGACCCAGACTGGTCGAAGTTTACACCGATCAGCAGCATGTCCAGGGTATGCACCGGTATGTTTACATTTAATCAGCCGACAAAGGCTTGGATATCCACAAAGGAATGCCTCTCAAGAGTTTGAATGACGGGGTTTGTGCAGAAGCTGGCTGTTGAAGTTGGGTTGTGAAGTTGGGAGTGCCGGAGGCGCATTTGACGCAAGCACTCAGCTATTGGATGATTGTTGATTGGTAAAATGATTGGTGGCAAAGTAATGCAGCGACGCCACGCTCTACCGACTGTGCGACTCGGAACATGGGAATCCGCAATCCGAGTGGGAGTCCATTTCACAATGAAATCTTGGCGCTAGGGTAAAATATGACATCGACCCCATCCAATACCATTCCAAGTGTCACATGAGTCAGTTAAGGACTCGAGTAGCTACAGATCCTATCACATTATTCACACCCGTTTACATAGCCAGTCGCTTCTTCTGAACTTCTGATCGAGCGCCGTCCCAAGGCGTCGTCCACAGAGCAAGAAGCTCTTCACTACTTTCAAGCCTCACTTTAAATACACACGTGTCTTGTCTCATTCGTGCACTAACTTTCACCATCACCCACTCTCTCATACGAGACTATCCTCATTCCTCAACTATAAACAGAGTCGCTGAAGCTCACCGTTTGAGACGGCTAGGTGCAGTGGCGTCTGTCCGGCCGAGTCTTGCACATCCGGCTTACTGCCGTTCAGCAGCAGGTGCAGGCACGCCATTACAGAGCCCTGAGAAAACAACGATCTGACGTCAGGTCACAGGGGTGGAGGTCATGTCGTGTTAGAGGTCAGAGCACGTGGCTAGAAGTCAGATCGTTCGGCCAGGGCAGGTCAAGTCTCGCAAAAGACAGTGTACACAAAGAGGTCAGGTCATGTCAGACTAGGAAAGAGTCCCGAAGGTCAAATCATTCGGCCAACGACCGATTTCATAGTCGAGGCAACAAAGGAACGCAAATAACCATAGTAGGTATGTTGGCATGGAGACACACAGGCAGATACGATGCGGATAACAATCCGATAATAAGCCAGGTAACCTAAAACTACAGAAAACTAACAGAAACAATCCGTTATTAGACGATAATGCTGAGAACAGGCGCCAGTGTAATGCATTAAAGACAGAAGGGGCGCAGGAAATGCAATTCTTTTGACACTGACGGTGGTAGTATGTACACAATCACGGGCAGAAACGACCCAGCAAACACCACCTTGACGACAGCTTATCCGATCCAACAAAATAGCCGTCAATAATACCAAACCTGACCTGAGCAGAGCCCCCTTATGTAAGAGGGCATAAATATATACATTCCTATGCCCCACTCAGAAACCCGCAAAATCTTTCAAGACGACATAATCCTCTCATACAAATCGGCCGCGTTACAATAATACTATCAGGCGCTCTGAGCCTCCTCAGTCAACCTCCTGGTGGGAAATAACCCCACAAACACTAACATACCAACTGCAGAACACAAGTGGTTGGAGGAAAGGATCTCTTCGGCAGTGACTGCTTTGTTAACACTGCATTACTGGCCCTTATGCCACCACTTATTGACTCAACAGACGATTACAGCACGTCGAGCAGCGCGCTCCATGACCCAAGTGGCCCACTCGACAGCCAGAAGGAGCAGTACCAACTGTCACCCCCTCATAGACCGACGGTGTTACCAACCACGACCGCAGCAGCCAGAAATGTTACCAAGTGGCATGGATAGGATTTAGCGACATCACCTGAGATTTGGCTGCAGTAAACAACAATGAATCTGTTACGAGAATTTGTACGCATTTTCACCTGATAACGCATCTGCGATCATCCAACCACTCAAGGTTATTGAGCGTTTAACCAATAGAGTAAACAATTACTGACAGTACCTTTGACGGTTCGGACACGCCGTAATCATTGAAGTCCAGCACGATTCGAAAAAAACGTCCAGCTGCGGTACCCGGCGACACTGGACCTTGATAAACCGAATACGATCGGAGCCGCGGTAGCCCACTACGCTGCCGTCCAAAACACGCAGCGCCCCAGCTGATGCGAAAACACGACAACAGCAGAGAAACGCTCGCAGCCCAAATTGCACTGCCGTGCTCCCATCTGCAAAGTGGCTTTCCTCCCACACTGGGTGAGCTCGCAAACAAGGCGTGCGCGTTGGCTCGTGTTCCGATCAGCACCAGCTGACTGAGCAGGGAAGGGGATTCACTGAGGGATTGAGGGGACGAGTTAATACAGAGGGTAGAGAGACTTCTTCGGGAAAGAAAGATGGGCGGATATGCGTGATACAGATCTGCAGGCAGTCATTACCTTATACCGTAGATAATACCCGCGGTATAAGGCGCCAAGCCATCAAAACCTAGATCCTGGTTCGGTATTAGATGGGGATAAAATAAGCAGCATGTAATACAGCTCTTTTACGAGAGAAATGAAGGTTGCATTGCACAAGTAGCAGAGGAAATGCTGAATAGACTGAAAAGACGAAGGTGCAGGACATTGGTCCCTGGTAAGCCGAAAACAACCGGAGCGGTCGCCACTGCGCAGCTCCCATCCAAAATACGCAGCGACAGCATATACAGGTCACCCGTCACAGGACCAACAGCACAGGACGGTGGAGGTGTGCGTAGGGTCCAATCAGCCCCCCCCCCCACACACACACACACACTCACGCTGGTGACGGCCGCGTGTAGCGGTGTGCCGCCGTTCCTAGCCGTGTTCTGCCAGTTAGGTTCAGCCCGGAGCGCCAGGGCGGCGCACATCACCGGCAGGTTGTGTGCCTCGGCCGCCTTGTACAGCAGACTGTTGGGGTGGAGGGAGCTGATCACCTCCGGGTCTGTGGGCGGAGGACACTATGGGTCAGTCGTCAGGTCACAACGGGTCAGTCATCAGGTCACAACGGGCCAGTCGTCAGGTCACAACGGGTCAGTCATCAGGTCACAACGGGCCAGTCGTTAGGTCATAACGGGTCAGTCGTCAGGTCATAACGGGTCAGTCGTCAGGTCATAACGGGTTAGTCTACAGGTCACAGCGGTCAGTCGTCAGGTCACAGCGGTTCAGCTGTTAGGTCATAGCGGGTCAGTCGTTAGGTCACGGCGGTTCAGCCGTGAAGTTAGACCACAGCAGGTCAGATCACAGCGGGTCAACTAAGGTCATTGCGGGTCAGGACAGCTGGTCAAGTCAAAGCAAAGACGTGCCCAACACGGTGCATTCGGTAAGTCAGACACTTTTGATGAGCTCAATTACTATAGCCGTCTCAAAGAAGACAAACCCGTACTTGGCAATTGAAAAAACATTTCTGAACCGTTGTCCATAACAGCGTAACCCAAAGTCAAACGGCGACATTACGTATGATAATTCACATAGATGACAACGTGAGGTACTCCCACAACGTGAGGACGGAAAAAGCTTATGATCGACTATACATATATCTGTATTGCATGCGTCAGCGTAGAATCACGGTGGACGGCCGCAAAACAACTGCTGTGCGGTAACTACTTTATCAGCTGCTTTCAACGCATTCCCATCGGGTCACACCAATTAAGATCTCTTAAGTCTCAGCAATTCTCAACCAAATATCAAGCCATAAATAAAGATGCCTCCATCCTACCCACATAGCGTATTTTAAAGTATCCACCAATACGCCTACCAACACCTCTATGCGCCCGTCACCAGCAATTAGATACCGTCGGAATCTGTCCACGCTTACCACCTGCCCACGTCAGTCATCTGCTAACCGGGGGACCCTGAGTGAGAGAACTGGCACCACCCCACCGCACCATCGCCCTCCCAGGCGAACCTCCACTCCGTTCTCGGAACCTGCTCAAACTGTTTGCGGCAGAGGAGTTTTTGTCAGCCCTGCGGCGCAGTTTTGTGTCCGTTTTTGTCGCACTGGGTTCGGGGAAAGGGGCGACTGGTGACATGGAGCAGCATCCGGGCCACCACTAAAGCGGCGACACTTTGCGCCGACCGGGGGGAGGGGGGAGGGGCTTGTTTGGGTGGGGCCCATTAGTGGGGAGTGTCGGGAACATTCCCCGATCATAAGGTGAATCTGATAGAAATTGTGATGTTTTTTAGCTGAATTTAACTAAATTTTCATATTTAACCCGCGCGGGGCTGGGGTCTCCAGCCGAACGCGCGGGGCTGGGGGGGGGGGGTAAATTTTACCCCCCCCCCTGTTATCTCCCGAACTAATGGTCCGATTTTGAAAATTCAAACGCCAATCGAAAGATCTCATCACGAACAACTAAAAACATGTACTTAATTTTAAGTTTGAGGTCAAGGTCAAGGTCAGGTCAAGGCCCAAGGGTACAAATTGCAAGTTCCTACAGTATCGGCCTTGCACCGTAGTTGCCGAAGAATGGAGTCATGGACTGAGACTGATCGCCCAAAACGTGTTCTTAGGCTACCAAGACAATATTCGTTGCATACAATATCATTCAGAGGTCAAGGCCAAGGTCAGGTCAGGTCAGGTCAGGTCACCAAAAACAAAATATAGAAAAGGGCATGTGCGACACATGTTTTATGGGTCACTTTATTCATAGAATTCAATAGGCACACTCAATAAGTGATATGGACCACCTCTGGATGAATTTCAGGTCGAGGTCAGGTCAAGGTCAGGTCAAGTGAGGTCAAATTTTGAAGTTGGTTATTAAGGCCTAAAAAGGTGTCTATCTGATGCAGTTTTTCACGGCGAATCGAATGGTGCTATTTTTGTTTCCGTACGAGGTCTAGAACTGCCAAAAAAAGTCATTTTTCAAAAAAATTGTGTGTCGTGACGTCATACAATTTTGAATAACTCCCACATTTTTGAACCGATTCTTCTAAAACTTGGTATGTAGGTGCACATAGACCACTTCTCTGACATATATTCCGGTTTTTTCGATATACTCAAAAATTTTGATTTTATAGCTATTTTCCCAAAAAAGTCAGTTCTTTGAAAAAATTTGGGCCAAAATCCAAAATTTTCAAAAAACCGCGATAGCCATTTGATAGACAAAGTAAAATTACGTATATCCTTTTTTGTTACGTCTTGATTCCTTTAAAAATGAAGATGTTAGCGGCGTTTGAACTTTTGCCGTTTTTGAGGCGAAAATGGCGAACATGACGTCACTAAAACGTCAATTTCTCAAAAAATTTCCGACGGATTTCGCTCAAATTTTCAGGGAACGTGTCAAATTGATGTAAGAAAAGGTACTGAAAGTTTGGCGGCGCTGCGCGCCGCCGTTTTTGAGATATTGCAAAAATTCGCGAGGGGGGGGGGGGGTAAAATTTACCCCCCAGCCCCGCGCGGGTTAACTCATTTCATATGAACTTAATAAGAGGTCTGTAATGTTTATCGTAGCAGAATACGAGGTCTCTCGTAGCAGAAACACTGACAGCGGTTCTAAGTGACCTCGGTCAACACTCGACCGGCGGCAGTCGGGGGTAGGACAGAACGTTCCCAGAAACCCGACAGCCACCCCAACGACGAAACCCTTCCCGTATGCTTGTCAGCGATAAGCTGCCGGTGGTTGTGTGTACCAGTAAGCGACATTTGACGTCAACCTGGGACCAGCGGGAATACGGTGGGAGCTAACGGCTGTTTCTTTCTCGCAATGTAAGCACACTCTCTCCGTTGGCGTCAGTCGACTGGAGTTGCCAGGCAGGCTCAAAGCTGCTCACGTAGTACTGATAGTTCCATTCAATCCTAAAACGTTGAAAATGGTATAAATAGCCGTCAGAATCCGACATCGTGATAGAATATGCGAAAAAGGGCAACCAAACACATGCGAATGTATAAAAAGAATTAAGCGCTTAAGAACGCAGTACAGAAAGGGCGTGTTTATAAAGCAAGAATCAAACATTTCTAGTCGGTTGACGATCTCAAGTGCGTATTAAGTATGATCTGCGCAGCATACATGCAACTATAAATGATACTTTGATGCAATCAATTCAGCCTACGACTGAATGTGTGAGGACTGTGTATATTTTGGTCCTATTGACCCAGCATATTATAGAGGCTCAAATCACTGGCCACCAGCCGCCAAACTTCAACGGTTCCGTCTTGCCCACCCGTGTGTGAAATAAAACTTTATCTTTATGTAGCTGCAGTGCCAACGGGCCCAGGTAAGTAACGTATACCATACCATACTGCACCAAAATCATCCAAAAAAGTCCTTGCAAAAATGTTAGCTACTGCCGCACGTGCAGATCTATATTTCGGGAAGAGGAAGATTTTTCATTTTATGTACGTTTATTTTTTGTTTGATCTTACCCCTCATAATTAGAGCGAATGATATCATTGTTTGAATAACGGCATGACCCAGCTACGTGGTACCTATCAGTTAAAATGAGTTTATATAACTATCGGTCCCGATGCATAGCAGTTCATATACGCCTATACATCACACTATGCATGCGGGTGAGTAATATACACAAACTCTGACTAAAGGCTGCCCCACACTGGACCTCGCATGCGGGTTGCGAGTTTTTGGGTTTTCGGGTTTCTTCAAAATCAAATGATACAATATAAGCTGAGTGACCCACATTACCATCTATCAAGCGAGCCTGCATGTTTTTAGCTTGCGAGCCACCTTGCATCACATTCCAAAAGTTTTTTTTTTATAATCAACTTTTGATTGCCTCGCCGCTGCGAGGTGTGCGAGTTCTGCCAGGTTTGCGGGTTTTTCGTTGGAGTCGAATTTTGGTTCGTTGCTCTGTTATTGCGACTATACATATGTAATTTTCTGAAGGTGTACCGGCTTCATTGCATCCATGAAGTTACCATAAGGGAACGGTGTAATCACTCTACATATGGATTGGTATTATGCCCGCAAACTCAAAACCCGCAAACTCGCAACCCGCATGCGAGGTCCAGTGTGGGGCGGCCTTCACACCTTCAGAAAATTACATATAGTCGCAATACCAGCGCAACGAACCAAAATTCGAGTCCAACCAAAAACACGCAAACCTAGCAGAAATCGCAGACCTCGCAGCGAGGAAAATTGAATGTTGACTCAAAATCAACCTTTGAAATGCGATGCAAGGTGGCTCACAAGCTAAAAACATGCAGACTCGCTTGTTACATGGTGTTGTGAGTCACTCAGCTTAGATTGTATTATTTAATTTTGAAGAGACCCGAAAACCCAAAAACTCGCAACCCGCATGCGAGGTCCAGTGTGGGGCGGCCTTTAGCAACGCAAAGAACCAAAATTGACGAAGGCGACCATAAAAATTATAAGAAGTAAGGCTAACTAGAGAACCAAAGGAGATTAAATGATAACTAACGATATTAAAGAAAGAAAGTGGTATTTGATCAATGTAAAAAAAAAAACACGCAAAGCCTTTGGTAGGCAAAATAAAGTTATAAAAAAGAAATAGAGTCGAAGAGGATAATGTCAGTCAAATTGATATGGTTGAAGTGACAGTATGAAGACGTTCAGAGACAGCGTCTACAATTACACCTTAAATGTCAATGAGCCTCTACGTTAAATAAAACCCACAGTTAATGAATGATCTCACCACCGGATGCCCTCTATGGAACGTCTGTGTTTGATCAATAGCGTAAACTAAGCCCAGTTATACACACTCACGGAGCACGTTTTAGGCGGCGTGACAGCCACTTATCTGACAACACTGAGGCACCAGAGCTCACTTAGGATAGGTATGTGTCATCAGCTGTATGGGTTGTAAGATTGTAAATCAACCCAGACCCATCAATGATTGAGGTTGGAGCTGGGCTCCCAATGCCTGACGCATATTCGAATAATGTCAACAGAGGAAAATGGATCCTAGAATTACATGGCCATGTTTGCCCGAGGTGGAATATATTATGTGGATTCAAAATGAAAAAACTACACATGAAAACATATTTCATAGCCATTATCGAAAGATATAGCACATTCGGTTCACACCAGCCGATTTATCTGGGGGTAGTTGAGTGTAAAACACTCAAGACAATCTTAAAGAACTCGTAAAGATAGCGTACCGGATTGCAATGCAGATCACGGCGCCATTCCAAAATGACACAATTTTCAATGGTATGGACTATGGATGTTTCGTTACTAGAAAATGCTTGGTAACTTGCAAAGGTTTTGCTGGCACTACATCCAGAGATAAGTGTGCTCAAAATAAATAGGCACTTTTTGAAACACGCTTCTAAAACATGTCTTCAGTTGTTTATGACCAAACAAAGTTTATAGCATACTGTTTTCTATCATAACGTAACTTTCTACGATTTTCTCTAATTTGTGAGCTCCGATGACGATTTCGCGCGGTTAGGGTGCCTGTACTGCTGTGGTCATCGGCGCGAGCTTGGCTACGCTGTCTAGCGGTGTATCATCATCCTCCATCCCCCTCCTCCGGTACACCCCTTCAATCCTTCATCACTAAAACCCCCCAAGGCCGACGAGCCTCCACAGAGCCACTGACCGGGGTGGGAGTCATCCTCGCCCTCAGTCGAGCCGCTGCTGTCCTCCAGGGGGTCTCCGGCGGCCGGCGGCGGCGGCGGGGGCGGCGGCGGCTCGCCCGCCAGCTGCTCCCCGAACACCAGCAGTCGGTCGGCCGCCGACGGCGCCGCGCCGCCGCCGCCGTCGATGATGACGGCGCTGAAGCTGGCGGGCGGCGCGTCCCCGGCGGCCGGGGCCGGGGCGGCGGCGGCCGTGCGCCGGCGGTGCGGCCGCTCGGCGCTGCGCGGCCGTCGCCGCAGACGGCGCACGCTCCAGCGGCGGGCCACCGGCGGCGCTGCCGAGCCCGGCAGCCGGCGCACGAAGCGCACCTCAGCGTACTTGGCCCGGATCCACGCCTCGCGCACACTCCTGAGGACATGGACGGACGGAGAGCCGGTCAGAGAGAAGGCAGCTGCGGAGACTGAATAGACTGAAACGTCAATATCAGCTTTGTGACTAGCGATGATCATAGCAGCATAGGCGAGGTTAGACCACGGCAAGTACAACTTTCAAGTTTGGAAAAAAAACAGGCCGATGGCCAAACGGCTAGAATGCCAGCAGATGGCGTTCAATAACCTTGTGGCGCCGTTCAGTCATCAGACTTTCACTGCCGTCTACCATCATCATGCCTACGCCCATCTGCCCTTATGAGCTGTTCGATGTTCCGAAGTATCTCCCAATCTCCCATCCATCACCAGTTATCACTCTATTCCATGTCTGACACCTCACCCGTCAAGTCCCTCATCTCATCGTCCCACCAATTATACTCATACGTTCCACCGGCCACCTCCCCTTTCGTCATCTGTCCCGTCTACCACCCGTCCTCCTCACCTCTCGGAGTCGGGCGCCGGCCGCTGGAAGCCCTCCTGCACACACTCCTCGTACACTCTGTTCACCACCGTGTTGCCCAGCTCGGCAAACACTCGCAGAATCTCCGGCTCGAAGTCGTCCAGCGTCAGAGAGCGGATCTTGCTCACGTGCACGCCAAGACTGCGGTGGATGCCCGAGCACTCTGTCGATAAGGCGACACGGTTCAGGGAGAGTCAGCTTACGGTGGGACAATGATAACCACTGAAATCGGCATTAACTTCAGATGACTTTCAAGCAATAAGAAATTGAAAAACGTCGTCAAAGCGGTGTCACCAAGGACCATTTCATCGTTGTATCGTAGTATCATCACAACGTAGCATCGCAACATCATCACCATCATCAACATCGCAACATCGTAGTATCAAAGTTAAGCAAACTGCAGGCAGATGGCAGCATCTGTCCGGTACGGCGTGGCCACTTGCCGGTTGCCAATTGACTTGCTATAGCCACAACCGCAAGCCAAATTGTATGCTGCTCTTCATCCTCAAGGCCTCTGGGTTCCACCCCTAAAAGTTAATAAGCTCCAAATATTATCATAGACGGGCCACAAGAATGACGAATTTGGCTTCACTCCCCAACTGACCTCCCTCCCATCCGCACGCCAAGACTCTCTGGCCAATCGTGATTCCCCATTTCTCTCACCGATACAAAGCGTGATCCCCAGGTTGATGCTGGACCAGGTGGGGTCGGGCGCGCCACAGTCGCAGCATCGCTCGTTGCCGGGGATCCGGCGCACCTGCTCCAGCACATTGGAGCGTTTCTGGGTGCGCAGGGCGGGCGGCGGGCGCTCTTCACCCGCGCCGCCGTCGCCGCCGCCGCTACCGCCGCCTGCGTGAGACTGGCGATTGTCGGAGGCAGCAGCACGACTGGAGGGCCGGTCGAACGCCGCACCGATCCCCGCCTGCCAAGGGCAGGGGAAGAGGTCAACGAAGATGGTAGGTGCGGTCGCTACTAGTGCAATCGAAGGCAGAGACTCAGAGAAGGGGAGAGAGAGGAAGATCGTCTTGATCTTGTACATAAAAAATGGACACGAGCAAGACTCGGTCACGATTTATCCTATCCATCACCCTATCTAGCCCGATGATTTTCCACCTGCAGTGCCTACACCCAGAGTCGATAACTGGGTTCACTGTCAGCCCTAAACCTCCCTAGTTCTACCCACCTGCAGCGCCTCCACCCAGAGTCGGTAGCTGGGCTCGCTGTCAGCCTGCATGACGTGGCTCTTCTGCGGCGAGACCACCTCGAAGCAGTGCCGCCGGTCGATGTCCGGCGCCGGCTTCACCGTGCAAAGTCGCAAGTCCTCCTCCATCATCGTGAGATCCTCACCTGGGGGCCAATGGTCAGGTCAGGTCCTCACTCGGGTCATCGGTCAGGCCAGGCCTCCACTTGGGACACCGGTCAGGTGACCCCAAGCGAAGTAAGGGCAGGTCAAGTCAGCGCTTCGCCTCAGGGTCACAGGCTAGTAATTGTCAAACCATATGATCTAACACCATGAAGGACACGACGTCAATGATTCTTTCAATTAATCAAGCTAAAACAGTTCTTAGATTTTTACTTTTCACCCTCCCCTACATAAATAATTCCACACCTACGATGGCGCAGCCCGGAACCCAACCAGAATGCGAAAAAAAACTGCAATAAAGACACATCTCCCACAGCATCTCTGTCGGAAATGTAACACACCACCCCTTCCCATCTTCACGAACCGCTGTAACCAGCCCCTCCCCTCGCTCACCGCTTCGTTTGCGGTATTTGAGCTGATGATTCTCCAGAGTAAACCAGCGCCGGTTCCACGTTTTGAAGGCGTTGGTGGTTCGTTTGAAGAGGTACCCTTCCATGAAGACGCCTCCGTCTGGGGCCGGTACCGGTCGGTGCTGAGAGGCCAGCGCGTCCTCGTGGGTGACGGCGGAGTGCCGCGTCTCCAGCTGCTGCTCCAGGCTTTTGGTGCGAGCGCGCAGCTCTTCAATCTGACGGTGCCGGGGGGGGGGGAGGGGGTCAGAGAGAAGAACATACATACAGTGCTCCGCCCAGAATGTCACCACAACGGAGTTCACCAGAGGAGCACCATGTTTGTCATATCCACTGACGGGTGATCTATAACGACAATCGTGGGAATCAACTGCATTCGAGCGAAGGACCAACTGAGCCAGCCGCACTGGTTATACACAAACTAGGTGTCGTTAGTGTGCGACCCATGAGCCGGAATGAACATTGAAAATATTGTGCGACATAGCCATTTTATCAAACACAGCATTAGCGACTGCCGGCGGGGGTGATAACGGCTCATCCTCCCACCACCGATTCCCACCGGTAACACTACACCATACTACACATATCCGTGTGACGGCTAGTCTCACCTGGGCGCCAATAGCTTTCAACTGGGGATCTAGATCCTTGCAGAGGTCGTCACCCTGGTGGAAGAAGGTGACCTGCGACTGCAAATAACTCCGCACCTAGAAATAAACACCGGAACAGCGGCAGTCAGCGGTCGGGCTCACTAGCTAGGAAATGACTGGATTTCGCGCCTGGGAATAGCCAAGGAAATATATGACGTCAGTGACTTGGAATGCCAGCTGAACACTGGCTCTAGCCTACGATGATTAACCCGGCAGGCGGTGGGCCTCCCGGCCACTTTCCGCGCGGGGGGGGGGGCATTTTTGGTCAAATTTTTAGTCACAATGTGCAAAAGCTATTCACGGGAGGGTACTGAAAGTTTAATGACGATCGGCGCAGCGGTTCTGGAGATATATCGAAAAAACTAAAGGGGGGGACAACAAATGTCCCCCCCCCACTGCCTGGAAGGTTTAAGGGCATAAGGCATAAAAAGATGATGCTGGCATAGGCGTAGTTTAGGCATAGATGAGCTGCGAGCTGGACGTGGCTGTATCACAATTCGTAGGTCAGTAGCACTTGACAGCAGGTGAAATTGACAGTGTCCCAGTGATTCCAGAACCCCTTTCACCTCTGAGATAACCGAACAGACAATTCCGTGCAGGCGAGCAGCGCTAGAGGAAAACTGTCAGTGAGCCGATTCAATGTGAACTAATGCTCTATCATTTGGAACGAGAACAGGAAAATAGCGAGACAGAGAACACAAGGGTGCAGCTCTCACCGGCTGTGCTGCAGCCGCAACGGCAAAACACATTCAAAAGTACAAACTTTAACTCCAAGATAATCTAATTTCATTCCAACGTAAAACAAAACATACCATGAGGCACGCCACCAAGCTGCGAAACTTATGGATTTACCTACATTTCCAAAAACGTATAACAATTACTAATGCGATATTGGCCCACCCGAGCACAATGCGCTCGGCCATATTCCCTCCCCTCCTCATCCAACAGCACGCCCGGACCGGATCCAACCTCCGAAGTAACTCTTAAAAATTATATCCCCTCCACCTCCACCTCAACTTACCGTGTCGAGCACATCGTGTTGTTTTCGTGACTGCATCAGTGACAGAGCCCGCAGGTAGTCCAGGGCTGTGTGCCGGGAACAGGTGCGGGTGGCCCGCACCAGGTTAGACGTCTCCTCCAGCTGCCGGGCGGGGTCACAGGTCAGAGGTCGCCGCTCATAGGGCGACACCCACACACAGGTGGGCGGGTCACGAACGTAGAAACGAAGAACAAAGGCAGCGCGCACGCAAACACGGGCACGGATATCGCGGTGGTGGATAGCAGCCGTACGACGCGGAAAAGGAAAGGCAACAGCCGCAGCGATCAGTCAGCACACGTAGAGAAGGTGACGCAGCCACTGCTGACTGGAACGCCGTCGATACTGCCAGTGCCTCCACCCGCGCCCAATTTGGCGCCAATTCTCCACCCTACCCGGCGTCCCGATAATAGTGGCAGCGCGCCGATAACGCTACCGTGACTGTTTGAACGGCCAGTGACGGGACGCGGGTGAAATGAACCGACCACAGCGGAACCACGGGCGAGCGCAAACACTTCCGGACGGAGTGTGTGCACGGGCATAGAGCTGGTTCGTTTGCACAGCTTTTGACTGATACAGCGTTCAACACTGCTGACAGGTATGAGTTTACTCAGCCCCATGAGGCCTTTGACCTATGGATCAATACTTGAATATTTGAATATATCGGCGCGTGCGAGATAGGTGACCTATCAAAACGGGTGTCCATTGGAGTGATGAAACTTTATAGACTTAATTCATAGCACAGTTGTCACGTTTTGACTATGGACGCACGTTGTCATGCGATCTTTTAGCAAACTCCATTACCATACCTTGAAAAATAACCGGCCTATTCGGCTCCTGAGTCCTGATCCACATGCTACCTCCCTGCCTCATGTACAGAAAAAATCGACAGATGACAGTTGACATCCAGCCCTATCAGGCCGGCAGTCAGACTGACGGTCAGACTTACCTCCACAGGCCGTGACTTGGAAGCAGTCGCGTACCGGTTCAGCGCCGTGTCCAGCTCTCCGGAGATTCGCTCGAAACACTGGCGGTTCTCCTTCACATCACGGATCTCGCTGTAGGCAGACGACACCCGACGTCAGTGACGAACACTGCGTCAGTGACATAACACTGCGTCACAATGAGGGTAACGTCACAATACACCAGACGTCAGTTATGCCACACATCACTCACTGATTACACAAAGTCGACGTCACCCACGGTATACGACGTCACTTGTAACGTCACACAAATCACTTGAACGTCCAGTCACACTGTAATGTTCTGTAGAGCACGCTCAGCTAATATGACAGCCACAGTAACCATCCCGCCATGGAGTACGACGCTACAGCGTATCACTCTAACTAGTAACTTCAATATCGCCTCAACACAAAAACACGCAAACGCACACGAAACAAATCCACTTTACTACCGCCCTAAACCACGTCACACAAACCACGAGCCCCGTGCTGATACTGAGCGGTCCAACCAGCCGGTCGCTGCTCTCCCTCTCCCTCCCTCTCTCTTCGCCACCACACCGCGCGCCGGTCCGTCCCACACGACAGCCACCGGACCAAAGCCGGCCGCGCGGGCGGCGGTGGGCGGGACCGTAACGGTGTTTGCACGAGCGTCACGCGCGCACCGATCGTGACGGGACGTGAGGTATCTCGTGACGGAGCGAGGGGGGGGGGTGACAGACGGTGGACGGTTTAACTCCGCTAGAGAGGTCCTTGATGGAAGTAGCCGAGTCCATTCTCTGGTGAAGGGGGAGAGGGGGAGGGATAAGAAGAGCTAAAAAGCGGTAGGAATATGGGTCAGGAGGGTACCCTTTTCATAAGAGTGATGGGGATGATCCCTGTGGCCCTCCTTTGTTGATGATGATGATGATGATTGGGTTTGATGGCGTGCCCAACCTCTGAGGGTTATATGACGCCAGTAACTTATCTTTTTGCGTGAAGTGCGGGGCAAGAACTGAACAGCGAGTTAACAACAGTCTTAAAGCGCAGGTAAGCGTGCTAAACAATGGTGAGCAATGTGCAGTTTTCTCTTAAAGCACGAGTAAAATGATGTAAAAAACGGGACAACAGTCCCTCAAGAAGCGTTGCTCGGGCTAACGTCCAATATACTAGGTCTGGGTTTAGAAGCTATCGTGCTCGAAGATAAAAGCCAACCCTCGCAGGACAGCGAGGCAAGAGTTCCGGTAAAGAGAGAGTTTTACGAAACTTGGTGAGAGTAGACTACTCGGAGTCCGGAGGTTCTGACGAGCGCAAAGAGGGCTTCCCTGTCTAGGAGGTGCGAGTCGTTACCTAGCAGGTTTTGGATGGTCAGCTGATGCGTAGCCCCGAAGTGCGCTTCCCTTTCACGATTAAGCTGAGGACAGTCCAGTAGAACATGCCTCACCGATAGGGGGACAGTGCATCTAGGACACGTAGGTCTGTCTCCTCCACAGACGAGAAAGCCGTGGGTGCCGTACGTGTGCCCAGTCCTCAGCCTGCACAGGACTACCTCGTCCCGCCTGTTTTTGCGCATTGAGGAGGCCCACGGTGCTAGTGTGGGCTTGAGGGATAGAAGCTTGTTGCCCAAGCAGCCATCCCACCTGCTTTGCCACTTGCTGTGCAAGAAGGCTTTGATCGTAGGGAAAAAGTCCCTAGCTGGGAGTGGGAATCGGTGGAGATGAGGCCTCTCCGAGGCCCTCCTCCAAGTCGGCAGTCTCGTTACCTTGGATGCCTACGTGGCTCGGGATCCAGCACAGCCGCACACGTTTTCCCTCTCGGGCAAGACCGGTAAGCTTCTGTAAAATGTCCTGTACAATGGGGCCAGTAGGGTTAAAGGAGCGGAGAGCCATCAGGGAACTCAGTGAGTCAGACATTATCAGATAGGAGTTCTCGCTGTCTACTTCGATGTAGCATAGGAGCTTCTGGATGGCAACGAGCTCCGAAGTGAAGACTGATGTCTGTCGAGGAAGTGTAAACGATCGGACCGACCCATCGCAAACAAAAGCACACCCTACACCTACGTCCGTCTTGGAGCCATCCGTGTAGCACGCCACGCAGGCCCTCCTTTGTTGGATGAAAGGCGTGTTCTCAATAATTGGACGAAAATAAATCACCGTGAAATTGTAATTTCACCGATGGGAGAAATCCATTGGGAAAGACCAATTATCCGTCCGACAATACAGCAGCACCGTTACATCACCGGGGCTCATGACATTATGGCCTATTATGTCACGACATTACAGAATGAGAAGCTGTGGAGGCATATAAAACTGAGAAAAAATAATAAAACGTAACAAAATGAAGACCACGATGACTTGACAGGTTGGCTAAGAACCTTCCTGAATCAGCTCCACACGTGAAAACATATCGCCGGAGCCGAATAGCTCCATCGCCAAGGCACTCCACTCACACAAGACTCCCTCAGGGGCGCCGCATTTCACCACGACTCCCTCTGCCGTGGACATTCCGTTTCCATAATTTCCACCGCCATCAGCTCTCAGTTTCCCTAGGCCCCCTCACACGTAGATATACCGTTTCCCTTGGGAACACAGGCACGCATAGCGCGGTGTTATCCACGCTCCCCGCACGTCTACAAAGGTGTCACCCAAAACTGGCGTCAGGAGCGCTGAATAGCAGCACCTTCAATTATCCACTACCAATCGACATAAAGACCGAGAAAAAGTTTGTGTCCCAATGTATTTCTCTACATATTAATAACAAATAAGCTTAACAGTTCAAATCTTAATGAAGTGACATTTTTCAATGGGCGATGTTCCGAGGCCAAAAATATTTCGTGGGACGTGGTATGAAGGGCTAGTCGCGCATGTCCTGACATCTACTGCGCGAACAGTAAATTAAGTACAGGTAAGGCAAAATTTTAAAGTCGGGTGTAAACCAACCCTAATAACCCGCTGGCCGGCATGCCCGCCCACTGACCGCATCAGCTGACTTGTTAGAAAAAAGCGAGTGCACAAAGCTAGGGGATCATGGAATGCTGGAGCAAAATATGTAAAAAAATAAAAATTGCTAAACCTAAAAAGTTGTTCGTTTACGAATGGCGCAAGCTACAAGTTATTTTTTATAAACAACGGACGGACAGTGTAACCGTTGCCACCCAACTGTTCTGTTACCGTATGCATGATTAAGGTCAGCTGAGGAGAAAACACCGATGTCTTGCTAAATGGCACTCAATTTTACGTTCATGCTCTGAATGAACCGCTGCTGAGTCAAAGCTGAAACATTCTGTTATCGACTGAAGCGCATTTGCGCACCGTCTTCAGCATAATACATAACTAGCCAGTGGATCATCACAAAGGATGGATAAAATATTGACATTTCAACCGCACCAAAATTTCGTCGCTACCTGCAAAAGCTGATAGCATAGGTACCTGGATTTATGGACCTAATTTATGGACTGCCTGGCCCGGCGACGAGCATTTATCGTGCGCCGGCCCGATATTTCCGGAAAGACAGCGGATGCGTGCGTAATGCGTATGGGTAATGGGATATCGGCAGTCGGCACTCCAGTGAAGACGAACAGCTGGGCTGCCACATAGCGGTAGTTCCCCGCATGAGTCGATCCGACCGCAGACCGGAACGGGAAGCGTCGGCGGGTGTGGGTCAACGAGACTACGCCAGAAAATTCAGCGAAATAACTAGACGAAGCAAGAACTCACAGCGCCAAAGAGAAATATGCATGCAGTTTCAGAAAAAAACCTAGCTAGATTCTGAATGAACAGACTAGGCGGAGCTATAGCACCACCCCAGTAGAGGGAAGTGGGATGAACAGCAGTTCAAAAAGTTACAGAGGATATTAGGCCCATTGACGAAAGCGGCCCGTAACTATAAAGCAATATATCACTCACGTTTTCAGGATGGATGAGAACTTCATGCCGATGGTGCGCGCTGCCTGATCGACCGCGTGGCCCTGGAACTTGTTGAACTCTGTGAGCGCGTGCAGGAGTCGGTTGAAGGAGGCGGCCACGGTCGGCTGGCCGCTGAAGTGTTCGGCCACCTCCCACAGTGACACCACCAGCTGCCTGGAAACACGGTGATTAGAGAGAGGTGAAAGTTACAAGACATATTAATGTTAGTAATTGTGAAGCATCAAGCAGCAAGTGGAAAATATGCATGTCTTTCATGGCAGAACTTGACTGTTGATATGCATGTTGGCATGTATCCAAGTATGTTTACAATTGTCACAACTAAATTGTTCCCAAGATGTGGGTACTCACTTTTGACTGGCTGCAAAGAGTCGACCATTTTCCACCATGACTCCACAGCTCTTGATAGCCTTCTCAAGGCGAGACTCCAGATTTTCAATATTCTTCTCATTTTCATGCAGAACTTGTCTGAAAGAACAACATTTTGAAGAAAATGAGGTCACGCATGTGCATATTCTATCATATGTATGTCAAATATTTCCATATAGCAAACACAAACAAGCTCATGGGTGGGAGCACAGGGATCTGAGACTTCACCAAGTCATGTTCAGAGTAGGCAGCAGCATATGATGACAACTTGATACACTGCAAGCTGCAACAATCTCACCTGAATTTCGGAGAATCCCTGAGGCATTCATTTATGTCCACAAGCAACTCTGCCATTTCAGCAAAAAGTGTGCTACAAAACAACTACAAAGTATCACTGGCAGACCTGCAAAAAACAGGACATAATTCAAATCAGTCATAATGGTCAGGCAGCCAGGCCTAGGTGAGCAAAGGAGCCAAGCCAACACAGAGAAGTCTAGACTGGTGACTTCATAAGAGTTGAGAAGCATCAGAAACAGACCCAGGGCAAGGGCAATCTTCTCCCTCAGCAAGCTGATGACTTTGTGACTGCTAGGTGCCTAGGTCTATACCTCCTCCCTTTTAGGTAAACACTAAATATGTGACCTATGCCACTGCTATGGCATGGATTAGGTATTCCTGGATCGGACACTCCGCCGATTTTCCGACCACCCGGCGGCGGCGGCGGATTTCCCGACGGCGAGGGCGCTGGCGTCATTTTAGCATTGCGGGCTATGGGCGGAGCGTGTCTTTTTGTATACTTTTGTCGTTTATTACTTACCTATAACCGATTTTGATGAAAATTTTTGTGAACCAGGTAGAACAGGATTTGAGGAATGTCATGGAAATATTCTTTTCCCAGTTTTGATTTCAGAAGTTGCTTAAATTCTGCTGACAAGTGAGGGTTCGTGATTACAGCCGAAGAGCCAATGTTGGAATAAAGTTAAGTTTTATGCGATAACATGAAAATAAGTTGATATTTGTATTAAATCATCAATAGGAACTTGTTTGACTGCCGAGGAACGATGATATTTGATGATAAATTGCATCGGCAAGTCAAGAATACCGGCTCAGTTTATGGGCAGGGGTGTAACTTTTGCTTTTGAGATGGGGGTGCACTTGGTGATGGGGGCGACCTTCAATGAGGATAGGGGTGCTTCCAAGCAGGGCTGCGGAATCGATGGATTTACGGCGACTCCGACTCCGACTCCGACTCCGGCTTTCAAAAACCAACTCCGACTCCGACTCCGACTCCGGGCAGAAATGTCGACTCCGATCGACTCCAACTCCCGACACCGACTCCGCAGACCTAGCAGGGCTGCGGAGTCGACAGATTTTCGGTGACTCCGACTCCGACTCCGGCTGGGGTTTCCAATATCGACTCCGACTCCGACTCCGACTCCGGTCTCAACTGTCGACTCCGACCGACTCCGACTCCGACTCCGTAGCCGTGCTTCCAAGGAGCATAGATGGTGCATATCTCTCAACTGGCCCGCACACAGGATTTTTGAACGGGGGGGGGGGGGCACGACCTGCAAATAGGGGCCCTCCACCGAAGGGCCCCAGACCCCAGCCGATAAAGTTCCCCAACGCGATTATATTTCGGTTGACTTGAAACTTAGCTTCTGTCTATACATGATAAAACAATTACTTCAAAACCCGTTCAATTTTCAAAGCATTTAACGTTCCATTTTTGTTTACGCAGCATGTTTCATTCAAATACGATTCAGTGAGTAGTTATTACCATCTTAACCTTCGCCCCAGTGGGGGGGGGGGGGCATATGTTACCACCCTGTCGCGTTTTTTGCGTGTGAATAAAAAACCGCGGCGCGTAGCGCCGCGCCGCTTGGGGTAGCTTTTGGTACATCAATTTTGGACAATGTGTGAAATTTTTGACCCCAGGTCATGTCAGGTCACCAGGTCAAGTTAACTGACCAAGCCTAAATAAAGTTTGCAATCATGTCCAGCCTGCAGTGTTTGTCAGAAAGGTTTGAAACTTGGTGGATTGCATGCTGTTATGGGCGCCTGCAATTTGTATATCTCGGATTTTTTATATCCGTGACCTAAGGTCAGGTCAGTGGCGTGACCTTTCCATTACAAGTCAATGGAGAAAAATGAAAATGCCTCTAGATCCGTGTGTACGCATCGGAACAGTCCAAATATTTCAGAATCACAATGATTTAGTCCACTCGTGATGACCAAGGTGTCATTTTTGCTGATAACCTCTAGACAGGTCATCCGAGGTCACTTGAGGCTACAAACAGTTTTTTTGCCAATAACTCGCGATTGGAAAGAGATAGAACGCTGGGGATGGTCTCATTGTGTTTGTCTTGTTGAGACGCATCGACTGATATGCAACATGACCTTTTCCGGTAAGGTCATGACCTTGACCTGAGGTCAAATTTTTAAGTTGACCTTTCAAGGTCAAATTATAGTTCATTCGACGCGTCTCGGCGAGGGGAACACGATTCTGGCAATAGAAATGTCGTGGCTTTTTGTAGTCGAAAGTTATTGTAGAAAAACACTTTCCGTAAAAACAGCTATTTTTGGAGTTTTTGCCCTCTAGAGGCTAAACCGTTGACCTGAGGTCAATATTGATAATGACCTTTTCAAAAGAAGAGTTCAAAAGCTATCGATTACTCTTCAATGCGTTTTTGTAGCTAGCATAGTTCCTGAGATAGCGGCATGTTTTCCGAAAAATATAATGACAATTGGCAAATTTTGACCTTTGATGACCTCTGGTGACCCCAATATTGCTCTAAGGTGAAAAATGACCGAAATACTTTCAAACGTACGCATTGAGAGCTATCGACTGCTTTTTACCGCGTCTTTCTAGCCCTCTTAGTTTTTGAGTTAGAGGTGGGTGGTAACATATGCCCCCCCCCCCCCCCCCACTAGGGCGAAGTTGGCTGAGACCGCCACTGGGGCGCGGGTTAACAATCACGTAAAATATTCGATTGATAAGCGTGGATGCAAGGCCCTCAGAACTCAGCGCGGGTAGCGCCTTAAACTGCCGGCCGGCCGACCGACCCCGGCTAGCTAGAAGCGGTGGCTAGTCACGGGTTGGCCCGGATGTGTATGAGCGGGGCAGCACCCCCTTTGTCAATTCGCGTATTTATTTAGGCACATCGGCATGAAAAGTCATTACAATGATTCGTAGCGAGATCACAAACCAGAGATTTAACCCGCGCCCTGCTGGGGGGGGGGGTGTTTGAACACCCCCCCCTTGTGGTTTTTCGCGAATATCTCAAAAACGGCGGCGCGGAGCGCCGCCGTTTTTGGTACACCTTATCATACTTCAATTCTACACATGTTGTGAAAATTTCAGACCAAGGTCATTCAAGGTCAGGTCACCAGGTCACTTGAAGTGACCTCACCTCATAAAAAGTTTCAATGTCTGTCATAGCTACACCGAGTGACCGATCGCTTTGAAACTTTCAGCGATTGCTAAGAGCAATAGCATGTACAAAATGTATATCTCAGAATTTTGATATCGATGACCTAAGGTCAGGTCAATTTTGCGACCTCCCCATTATAAGTCAATGGGAGAAAATTGAAATGCGCCTCTTTTGGACGAAAGACATTATAAACACTCCCAAACACCGAATTACAAGTGGTTTAGACACACAGAACATGAAAATGGTGTCCGTGACCCTTGTTTATGCCCTGAGGTCATCTTAGGTCACGAATGGTATCTAACAGTTTTTCGCAAATAGCTTTTGATAGAGGCATGCTAGAGCGATGAAAACACCTTAGATGTGTTCAGCTCGACGATACGGATCGACTGATATGCAACATGATGCAACCACCCTTGTGGCGCAGTTGGCAAGTGCGTCCACGTTTGGTGTGGGAGGTCCTTGGATCAAAGCTGACCTCTGGCAGCGTTTTCCTCGGCCGGCTCCTACCCAGGAGATGGCAGTAACTGGGGAGTGTTCGCTCGGTCGTGGGGATTACCGCTGTGCCAGCCAGCGCCCCCGGCCGCAGGTACACGGGCCTGATCCGCCTTAAAACAGATCCTTCGGTCCGGTGACATGTCCCGAGGGCACGGCCTCGCTTCATGTCCCGGAGCAGCCCTCTGACCTGCCGGGCCCGAGAAATCGGGATAGCCCCAGCGTGCGCACCAGTGCGGTGCCACCTGGGGTGCGTGACAGGAAGCGTGCGGTCAAGGCTGTCCCGCGTAGCGGGTGCCGAAAACGCTTCGTACCACTGCCGTGTATATAGTGTACTAACCCAGTATGAATGTGTGCTACTAACGACAAAAGCCCGGGTCGGGCAACAAAAATATTTAAAAAAAAAGATATGCAACATGACCCTTTCCGGTCAGGTCATGACCTTGACCTGAGGTCAAATTTTCAAGTTGACCTTTCAAGGTCAAGTTATAGTTCATTCGATGCGTCTTGACGAGAGGAACGCGATGCCGGTAAAAGTAAGCTCGTACAAGGCTTGGGTCAAAAGTTATTGCAGAAAAACTGTTTCCGAAAAAATCGGCTATTTTTGCAGTTTTTGCCCCCTGCAGGCAAAACCGTTGACGTTAGATCAAATCTGAGAGAATTACTCAGAAAGGGCGTTAATAGGGCTATCGAATGCGTTTTTCCGCGGCGCTGTAGCTCTATTGGTTCCCGAGTTATGCGTTGGCTTCTTGGAAATTTTCGACATTCGACCTGGAAATCGGCGAAATTTTGCCTTCAATGACCTCTGGTGACCTGACCTTCGACCTGACCAAAAAATTGACCGAAGTGATTTCGTCCTTATTTTTGACGCTCTTTCGAACGCCGCCTTCCGCGTATCGCTACGTGGCCCAGGAGCCGAGTTACAAGGGGGGGTGTTCAAACACCCCCCCCCCCCAGCAGGGCGTGGAAATCCAGGACCCCCAGCCGGGCGCGGGTTAACTTTTTTCTCACTTTTATACCACATACTACAAAGACACAATTTTCAGGCGGCATGCCCACTTTCCTAATAGTACCAGTCGTAACAGATATTCAGGAAGCCCGTACCTATACGGCGGCCCCGATCACCCACCTCTCGCTGTTCGGTGGCGTGCGAGGGACCCACGGCGACCGCGCACCTCACCGACAAAGCAGCACTGTCACAACGAAGAAGCCCTCAAAGGGCCCGAAGATCCAAAGGCCCTTTGAGGCCTTCTGAGGGCCGTTTGACGTCAGCTGAGGGCACTTTGGACCTAGCCGATGGCCCTTTGAGGCCTTCTTAGCGCCATTTGACGCCAGCTGAGGGCCATTTGATGTCAGCTGAAGACCCTTTGAGGCCTTCGGAGGCGTTTGACGCCGGTGCAGGGCCCATTGGCGCCTTTTAAGGCCTTCTGAGGGCCCTTTGAAGCAAGTTGAAGGCCCTTTGGGGCCTTTTGAAAGTGGTTGAAATTTGACATCTATCACCTTCCCCTTGACTGCGCTGGACATTGTATGACCTCATTTGGGCCTGCTGGGGTCCGAGATGGGCCCTCCTAGTCTTTTTAATCGACATTTCAGCTCATTTTAGACAGTCTTCGGCGGTTTTAAGATTAGGGGCCATTTGAGAACCATTTGAGATGGCCCCGTTTCGAATGGGGGGGGGGGGCATGGGCCCGTGTGCCCTCCCCCTTGTGTGCGCCTTTGTCTCTCAATTTCGGTAACATGCTTTGTTGGTAACCGCAGGTTGTTTAAAATAGACAAACACTATTCGTTAGATATATTTCGAAATTCAGACTTAAGAGTGATCACCATTTTGTGTTCCTCCGATTTAGTTTGAGTCTGATGTTGCAAATGGGATTGCAGTTCATTTATATTAACCCAAGGCCCTCTAACCGGCGCACCGATAATCGGATGTCGAGGCTTCTACTTATAGGTAAAATAACTTTTGAAATAAAATGAATATTTTTTTCATGTATACAATTTTAATTGTATGAACACTAAACACCCCAATGTTAGAGTCCAATGGTACAAAGTTGGGTATTACGAAATGACATTAAATTCGTTTGCACGAATATCAATCAATCAATTGAAATTATAACGAAATTGCATTTTACTTTTTATTCCAACCTGTTATAGAATCGGGGTGCCCTTTTTATTCTCGGCGACTGGCGACACCCACTTTTGCTGCAATCACCTTTTTTATTGGGCGCCTTTCTACTGCTGGGGTCGCCTCTCTCTCTCTCTTGCTGAGGTCACCCCTCTTCTGCTCGGTGGGACTTACTTCTGATGGGCGCTCCTCCTCTGCTGGGGTCTCACTTTTCTGCTGGAGTCTGACATTGCCCTTCCCGGGTATGCCCTATTTTTGCTAGAGGCGTCCCTTTTCTGCTGGGCGAGCCCAACTTCTGCTTAAGTCGCTCGACCTTTTCTACTAAGGGCGCCCTTCTTGTGCTCGGCGAGCCCAACTGCCGCTTGAGGTGTCCCATTTTTATTGGATGCGCCCCCTTCTGCGGGCGGCGCCCCCCTTTTGCGGGGCTGTCCCTCTTCTGCTGGAGGCGCCCATCTTCTGGTGGAACCGCCCCTCTTCTGGGGGTGCGAACTCTTCTGCTAGAGCGCGCCTCTTCTGCTCGGTCAGCTCAACTTCTGCTGAAGGTGCTCGGCTATGCCTGTTGGGGACATTGCGCTTTTGCTGGGGAGACCCTGTTCTGCTGGGGATGCCCCACTTCCGTCGGGGCCGCTGGGGACGCCCCACCTTTGCTAGGGGCGCCCCCGGCCCCACTGCTGCTAGACAAACCCAACTTTTGCTCCAGGTGCCCCTTTTGTATTGGGGCGCCTCTCTTCTTTAGGCATCCCTCTCCTGGTAGGGCACCTCTTTCTGCTGGGGCGGCCCTATGCTGGGGGTACTCCTCTTCTGCTGGGGGCGCCCCACTAATGCTGGACGAGCCCAACTTTTGCTTGAGGTGCCCCATTTATATTGGAGTGTCTCTCTTCTGCTGGAAGCATCCCTCTTCTGGTGGGGCGCCCCCTTTATGCTGGGGTGCCCTTCTTCTGGTGAGGTGCCCCTTTCTGCTGGGGTCGCCCGTGTTCTACTGAGGGCGCTCTTCTACTGGGCGAACCCAAGTTCTGCTTGAGGTGCCTCATTCCTACTGGGGGCGCCTCTCCTCCGTTGGGGCGCCAGTCTTATGCTTGACGATCCCAACCTACGTTGGAGGTGCCCCACTTCTGCCTCGGGCGCTCCACTTTTGCTGAGAAAGTCCCATTCTTGCCGGGGTGCCCCTTTCACCCATTTTTGGGGAACGATGCGACTGGACGCTTCCCATGCCCGCAAGAGCACGACGCCGGTCACGAGACGGAATGTAGCCAGGAAATCACCCTCGCCATCTGCTCAAGAGCTTATCGGTGTCGGGTGGCGTCTGGGGCGCCGCTTAGCCTATGGGGGTGCACTTTGACGTGATGGGGGTGCACTTTCAGGGAATGGGGGTGCACCTGCACCCCCATACATATAGAAAGTTACACCGCTGTTTATGGGCATCAGGTAATGATTCCGTATGTGATAGTGACTAAATGGAGCCATAATAATTATAAGAAAGGACTAAAAATTATGTTTAAAGTGTCTGAAATTGTGTTTTATGAGCTAAAGTTCGCTAATTTCGCCCTCCATTACCGCGCTTTTAGCACGCAAGCCGGTGCGGCGGTCGCCGGCACACTCGCCGCCGATGTTTCGGAGCTCCGCCACCAGGGCGGCCGCTTGGTCGCCGGCGCTAGTGCTGGGGAATAGGGAGTGTCCTATCCAGGAATACTTCATCCATGGCTATGGGTCAGTTCATCAGACACCTCAAACTGAGATCCCTTCAAAACTCATCTGAGCTCTTCTGCACATTTAGATAATATACCCTGCATATTTTAGATATGGCTCTCAACCTCCTCCTACACCAACACTCCTATACCAGGAAGTTTGTATTGAAATTTGTTGAACACAGAAAACAAATGAAACAAAAACTTTAGAATGTGGCATCTGAGTGGCTCATGTTCAACCCTTTGGAACCAACCACTGATTCAGGTCAGCTCAGGTCATTTGCCCTATCACTTCATAAGTGAACCTGCTGTTACAGTAGGTACAGTAGTACTGTACTGCTAGTCCAAAATTTTGGGAAACTTTTGACTAAAGCACATATGCATTTGCTCCACAAATTAAATGTCACATTTCTGGCACCTTTGGCAAAGCCAGCTCAATTTAAAGCACATTTTGTGACATTAATTTTGGGACACCCTGTAAATCAAGTGTCTGAGCCAGGGCCCTGTATCAGTTATCACGACACTGCACTGCAGACTGCTGCGCGTAGCAGTATATTGGGTTTCCATGGAAACACCAACAAACTTGGATGCTCGCAACACTGGAGCATCAAGCTGAATTTATCTCAAACGCCGCACCAATAAAGCAGCACTGACTGAGCGCAGGGTAGCACATGCAGCGAAGCTGTGAAACAGGACCCAGATGTTAACACTACTAAGGGCAAAATAGAAAGAGGCAGAAAAACAAACAATAAAACATGAAATGCAAAAGAACAAGGTTTGGGTTCCAATTCAGATTTCATGAGAAACTTGAACTTGGTGCCTAAGTAATCTTCGAATAACCACGGTGTATTCACGGTAAAGATCATTCCAATTCAAAATCTATATCGATGCATGCCGATGTTAAAATAAAAGTAATTAAAAAAATAAAATCCGCACCGCGCATCAACACAGACACACACTTGCGATGCAAATACTTTTGGAGATGAAGTTCGGCAAAGCGCATCTATTTTTTTAGCAGACGTAATAGTGGATAAAACGCGAAGATTAGAGACATCTATCGGCAAATTCCCTATAACAGGAAAACAAGGCACCACTTTAGGGAAATAAAGCAAAACATCCCAAGAAACGGTTCACTGCAATCGGTCATCAAGACGTTCCAGGAAATACCTTATCCTCTGGTACGTCTCAGCCATCATCAGGAGGTTACTCCAAAACCTCTGTTTCGGTCTGAATGGTCAGTGGTCAACATCGGCACCGACGGCAGGAGCTTTCGCCTTTCGCTGGGGTCACGGGGTGGCCAAATGGCGCGGATGTCCTATCAATAAAATGTACGATGGTCGATGGGATGTCCTGTTCATTGGGTTGGAACGCGTTTATGCGTAGTGACGCATCATAGTCGCCTCCCAGCTCCCACTGCGCCGGATGCCCCCCCCCCCCCCCCCCCATAGGCGGCGGAACGATTTGAGACAAGGGGGGGCACCATGGCTCAAGGAGCCAAACCTAGGGTACCCCCAAATCCTGTTTTCTCATCGGATTTAGGCCACTTATTTTCCGTCACAGCCCTGACACGATGATTTTTTTTATTTATTTTTTTACTAAACGAAAATGGCAGTTCAGTATGCAGGGGTGTACCTAATTTTATATCTCTTTGTGGGGGCATATGCACCCACTATCCTGAATTATGCCCCCACAATGATGAAAAAGCACCCACAAGTCTTTTACAAGGCTGCAAGCGTCCTTTCGAGAGCACGGTGCCCTTCGCATGCTCTAACGGCGTCCTCCTGACCGTCTCGCGTTCATGGATAGCGTTTTTAATCACTCGGCGCCCTTCTGGGAGAATGGCGCACTTTTGACAGCACCGCGCCATTCTCATGGTCTAACGGCGCCCTCCTGACCGTCTCGCGTCCTTAGGTCTCTGTTCACCGTGCATCCCTCGACTATTCGGCGCCCTTCTGGCCTCTCAGCGCCCCTGAACCACATATAGCGTTTTCAATCACTCGGCACCCTTTTACGAGAATGGCGCCCTTTTCATGATCTCAAGGCGCCCTCGTAACCATCTGGCGCCCCCACGTCCCCACCAACGTAGCACTACTGACTGTGCGGCGCCCTTCTGGCCTCTTAGCGCCCCTGGACCACATAGCGTTTTCAATCACTCGGCGCCCTCCTAAGAGAATGGCGCCCTTTTCATCGTCTCACGGCGCCCTCGTAAGTCGTAACCGTCTGGCGCCTCCACATTTGGTGCCCCTCCTACTGGATGGCGCCTCTCTACATATTTTTTACGTCCTTCCGGTCAGTTTCCACTTTTAAGCGTGTATTTGCTTAGTCAGACACGTCACTTGAAGCGCCATTCGGCTAGCAATGTTATCAAATTCGGTGTTAATTTAGGCTCCCACATAAAGAATATCTATCGCGCCCCAAAACGGCCTGGCGCCGGGCGCCCCTACAGCTGGGCACCCACAATCATTTTAGGAAAATTACACCCCTGCCCGTATGTGTGGTTAACTTTAAGCTGATCCTCAAGTAGGTACCTATGTGTTTGTCTCTTCCTTATTGTCGTTTGATAAATTCCATTTATCCTACATGTATAATTCCCAAGAAGCCATCGCAGTACTAATCAGTGGCGAATCCCAGGGTGGAGGTCACATGTGTCATGACTTAGGGCCTGGGGTCACCACATGCCTGCCCAGCGGCGGATCCAGAAAATCTCCAAGGGAGGGGCCATTAGAAACCAGGAGGCCCCCCATAATCCCACCTGTTGGAGGCCCCATCTTCCCACTTGTTGGGTCCCCCCCCCCCAAAAAAACTGCGTCTATTGAGCTTATCTAGCTGTTCAGGCAACATCTCAACATCTGTGCAGGCTTGGAGGCCCTCTGTGCAGGTTAGGAGGCCCTGTAAAAGTGATCATCTCTGTGAGTATAAGAGACCTCCAAGTTATGAAAAGCTTTACCAATCTTCTAACAAAGAAGTCTTCTCAGCTAGTCTTCTAAGAAATAACTAAGTGGGTAGGTTAAAAAAAAACTCATCGGATTTCGGCCACTTTATTTTCAGGAGGCCCCCTTTTCAGCTTTTTAACTTTTTAACTTTTTATTTTATTTTTGAAAAAAAATCGGCCAAGGGGGGGGGGGCATGGCCCCCATGGCCCCCCCCCCTTGTATCCGCGCCTGTGCCTGCCAGGAGCACCACAGGCCTGACAGCCGACAGGGGCACCACAGGCCCGCCAGGGGTGCCAAAGGCCTAGCAGGGGCACCACGGGCTTGTCAGTGGCACCACAGGCCTGTCAGGAGCACCATCGGCCTAGCAAAAGCACTACAGGTCTTCCAGGGGCACCACAGACCTGCCAGGGGCACCAGAGGCCTGTCAGGGACACTATCGGCTTCGCAGGGGAACCACCGGCTTCGCAAGGGCACCATGGGCCTGTCAAGGGCACCACAAGCCTGTCGTTGGCAATTTAGGATTGTCAGAGGCACCACAAACCTGTCAAGGGCACCTACGTTCTAACAGGGGCACCACAAACCTGCCAAGGCCCAGGGACACCACAGGCCTAGCAAGGACACCACAGGCCTGTCAGGGGCACCACGGGCCTGTCAGGGCCCATGGGCACCTAAGTCATGTCAGGGCCCACCGTAGGCTTGTCAGGGGGCAGGGTAGGTAGGTACCACAGTCTTTCCAGGGGCACCAGCGGCTTAGCAGGGGCACCAGTCATCACATGACTAACCAAAAATAAAGAAAAAAAACTGAAAATAGGGCACCACCAAAATTAAGTGGCCGAAATCCGTTGAGGTTTTAATTCTGGGCATAGGTAGGGGCACCACTTCGATTCATGAACCTCCCCTTAGAGTTTTCCCGAATCCGCCCCTGGTACTAATACATCAAATTTAAGGGGGGGCACCTTGCTATTGGTGCCCCCCTTGCAGAATTCAAGGGGGGGCACGGTGCCCCGGTGCCCCCCCCCCCCGTTCCGCCGCCTATGCCGGGCCCCCCCCCCCCACACACACACCCTCCTTATCCCCACCATCCCACGGTCGTCGAAAGGGCCCGAACAAATGAGACATTTCATTAGTTCAGCCGCTGTGAGTCACAGTTCTGAGTCATAAGGAATGACTCACTTCTAGTCTAGTCATCGCATTTGGGCGTGGTCGCTGCTGGCTTTATGGAAAAATAATCAAACCGGAATTGCCTACATGTTTTCATTTACTACAGTTCCGGCCTTCCGGGATTATCGGGAAGGGGCCGATTGCGGAGTATGGGTGCACTCAGTGGGCACACTTGGTAGTAAATCGGCGCGGCCGCTTAGATCTGGTTTGGATGACGGCCGTTCATCGTACCCAACAGAGACATGAAAGAAAAAAGTAAAATAATGCCTATGATTAATGTAAATATATATTAAACGTCCAATAACTTGCCCAGATGCAATTTGGCACCGAACATGACCAGGCAAAAGTTATGAAATACATGCATACATTTACAATAAAACTTCATAATTCATAATACTTGATTCAGCGGCATCACCAGGCAGAGTGAGAGCTGACAGTACAGAATCACACATGCGTAGCATATTACAAAGATGCAACAGCACGGGACAGAGGCCAGCAGAGCCTAAAACGACAGCTCAGAAAACGCCGCAAATACACTCACAATATATAACTATGTAAATGCAGGACCAACAGGAAAGCGCGCCTGTTTCATATTGCGAGCCCCGCGCATAAAAAGAAAGGAAGAACGATCGGCCGCCGGGCCGTGTGCGCTACACCGGCCCCGCGGGCTCCAATTTGTACAGTTTTCACAACCGGCGGCGCCGCCCAACAGCCCACCACGCACTGATATGGTTCAGTTCATACCCGAGAGCGTGGAATAGCCCGCGACAGCCGCACCTAGCGGCCTGAGCGACAAGAGCAGGCCTGCCGAATGGTGGTTAGCTGATAGAACACCTCCAATGTCACTGGATTGGCGGACACAGCGCCGTCGAAAACGCCTATTGGTCGACGGACCGTCGTCGCAACGCTCATTGGCGGAAGGGTCAGGTCTAGTCGCTGATTTGCTTTGAGCAAGAGACGGCGACCGGCGCGTCGGCGCGCAGTGGCAGCGTTATTGCTAGCACACCACAGGACCGGAGCCAGCGGGCACCGCGGCTGAGCGGACGGCCGCCGACACAGCGCGAGCAACACCAGCGGGACACAAAGAACGCGCACCAACAGCAACCGTACACACAGAGCCCGGCGCGAGCCGCCCCAACAGCTGCCGAAAAACGAGCGAGCGCGCCGCCCGCCGCGCTGTAGAACACACATCGTAACATCGTTCGGCCCACCCACCGGCGGCGGCGGTCGTGATATAGCGGGGAAGACGAGGTGGCGCCGGACCGGGTCCGTCCGCGCCCACGGACTGATATGTGGCCGGCAGGACGCGATAGACCGCGCCGCGCCGTGCTGTGGTCACCGCACGCCCAGAGGGGGGGGGGGCAAACTTCGGGGAGGGTAGACCGGCTGCTCACGTCAGGCCCAAGCGCTCCACCTTGGCCGATAAAAATGTGTGCAGAGCGAAGACGAACGGCTTCGGAGACGATCCGAGGAAGTCCAACTCCTGTGGGGTCACATGGGGTCAGGGTCACTGAAGCCATAGACTATACGGCTGATAACACTACGTCCTTAGCGTAAGAGCACCGTACAATCAGGATGAGCCATCACTAAATTGACAATAAAATAGCATTACGCAAAAAAGGTGATGATACACCGACAGATATCGCTAAAACGGCGGAACAGTACCCGAGTGGTGACAGCAGCGGCAAAAAAAAACAACAACAACAACAGGTCAGTAGAACCTTACTTTGAAAAAAAGACAAATGGTATGCTCGCTAGGGTCGCGAATGAAGCAAATCAATGTAAATGAACACACATGAACGCTAAAGGAGGTGATGGATGAGTTACGATGCGTAAAAAAAAAAAACGAAGGATCAGTTCGGGCGCCCCATCGGACTGACCTGCATCTCGCCCTTGCCGAAGTTGAGGTGGACCACGCTGCGGTTATCGTCGCCAGAGTCCAGCAGTTTGTCGAAGCTGTAGTGCCAGAGCGCCTCGGGCAGCTGCGCGGCCGGGTCGGTGGCCGGCCGGAGCGTCAGGCCGTTCTCGAAGTGCATGGTCAGCCGCGCGTCCTGGCCCTTCCAGCGGCAGTCTATGAAGGAGAAAGATTCAGTGACAGTGCACGGGTGGTACCGGATAGGCTTACGTACTGGAACGGCCAAAGGCAGGCGAACGACACCAGCAAATGAAACTCAAGACGAATGAAACGACCGTGGCTGGCGTGGCTGACATGTTTGGTTTTTATACATCGGTCACAGGGCTGACTGAAGTTAAGAACTCATCAATCTTCAAGCAAAACAGGCAATGACCGTGCAAAATGTAACGGGTCTATTCTAACCCACACACATTCGCAATGTATCTGAAGTAATGTTTACATCTTTGCCATGGCCAGACCAGCCACTAGCGTTTAACCCAATATCATCACTCATCCTACCGAACTTGAGCTATCACACTACGTGACTCCACGCCATCCTATGTCCAGCGCCATATTCTGTCTACGCCAGCAAACACCCATCACTTTTCCATTACTCACCAAACACCAGCTGCTGCAGATCAGCCACTGCCGAGTGCGTGGCCTGCACCACGGCCCTGCTCCAGGTGGCCAGGTCCCGGGGCGTCTCCACGCGCCACTGTACTGCGGTGACGCCGCGCCGCGTGCCCGTCCGCGTGGTTAGGGTGATGGGCTCCGAGGGGGACGGCGGTCCGTCGGTGGGCGTCAGACGGTACCGCACCAGACTGTCGCGGGGGGGGGAGGTCAAAGGCGGGTCACAGACAGGTCAGGGAGAGTCAGTGTGTGTGTGAGGGGGGGGGTAGGTCAAACGGGGACAAGGTGTGTCAGAAAATGCTCTGAGAGGGGTTGGTGGGCCAGTATGTGCATGTGGGGGCGGAATCAGGTGGGCTCAACCGACGGAGACGGACAGTAAATAGCACATCAAGTAGGTCAAAGAGGTCGAATAGGCAGGTCAGAAGTTGGTATGCCAAGTAGGTTAGGACCATAGCACATGGAAGTTATATACATTGCACCTAACACAACGCTTCGGTCCTGAACCATTACGAAATACGGATAAGATAGGGACACTTTTTTCGCGAAAATAGCATTCCACTCCCCTGGACCAATTCAGAAACTTTAAGCCTCACAGCAATGAACAGACAAAAACCACAACAATCAAACCCTCATTGGCACCGCCTCACATCGACCACCTGCGCCCCCTCCCCTCCCTCCACAACTGTGTCGCCCCCACACACACAGGTGACCCACCGTGTCATGAAGAGGGGCAGGGCGACGGCCGGCGCTGCCCACGCCTCCAGCGTCCAGGGCACCTTGTTAAACAGCAGCAGCTCCCGCTCAGTCACCGCCGCGAACCGCTGCTCCCACGGACGGTTGTCCAGCGACTGGTCCTGTGGAGACCGGATGGCAAGATTAAACATTACCGCCACGAAACGCTGCCTCTCATGGACGGTTGTCCAGCGACTGGTCCTGTGGGGAGACCGGATGGCAAGATTAAACATTACCGCCACGAAACGCTGCTCCCACGGACGGTTGTCCAGCGACTGGTCCTGTGGGGAGACCGGATGGCAAGATTAAACATTACCGCCACGAAACGTTGCCTCTCACGGACGGTTATCCAGCGACTGGTCCTATAGGGAGACGGGTTAGACATCAGCAGGGTTAGATATCAGGCAGGGTTGGATATCAGCGAACCGCTGCTCCCACGGACGGTTGTCCAGCGACTGGTCCTGTGGGGAGACCGGATGGCAAGATTAAACATTACCGCCACGAACCGCTGCTCCCACGGACGGTTATCCAGCGACTGGTCCTGTGGGGAGACCGGATGGCAAGATTAAACATTACCGCCACGAACCGCTGCTCCCACGGACGGTTATCCAGCGACTGGTCCTATAGGGAGACGGGTTAGACATCAGCAGGGTTAGATATCAGGCAGGGTTGGATATCAGCGAACCGCTGCTCCCACGGACGGTTGTCCAGCGACTGGTCCTGTGGGGAGACCGGATGGCAAGATTAAACATTACCGCCACGAAACGCTGCTCCCACGGACGGTTGTCCAGCGACTGGTCCTGTGGGGAGACCGGATGGCAAGATTAAACATTACCGCCACGAAACGCTGCTCCCACGGACGGTTGTCCAGCGACTGGTCCTGTGGGGAGACCGGATGGCAAGATTAAACATTACCGCCACGAAACGCTGCTCCCACGGACGGTTGTCCAGCGACTGGTCCTGTGGGGAGACCGGATGGCAAGATTAAACATTACCGCCACGAACCGCTGCTCCCACGGACGGTTATCCAGCGACTGGTCCTATAGGGAGACGGGTTAGACATCAGCAGGGTTAGATATCAGGCAGGGTTGGATATCAGCGAACCGCTGCTCCCACGGACGGTTGTCCAGCGACTGGTCCTGTGGGGAGACCGGATGGCAAGATTAAACATTACCGCCACGAAACGCTGCTCCCACGGACGGTTGTCCAGCGACTGGTCCTGTGGGGAGACCGGATGGCAAGATTAAACATTACCGCCACGAAACGCTGCTCCCACGGACGGTTGTCCAGCGACTGGTCCTGTGGGGAGACCGGATGGCAAGATTAAACATTACCGCCACGAAACGCTGCTCCCACGGACGGTTGTCCAGCGACTGGTCCTGTGGGGAGACCGGATGGCAAGATTAAACATTACCGCCACGAAACGCTGCCTCTCATGGACGGTTGTCCAGAGACTGGTCCTATAGGGAGACAGGTTAGACATCAGCAGGGTTAGATATCAGGCAGGGTTAGATATCAGCGAACCGCTGCTCCCACGGACGGTTGTCCAGAGACTGGTCCTGTGGGGAGACCGGATGGCAAGATTAAACATTACCGCCACGAACCGCTGCTCCCACGGGCGGTTGTCCAGAGACTGATCCTGTGGGGAGACCGGATGGCAAGATTAAACATTACCGCCACGAACCGCTGCTCCCACGGACGGTTGTCCAGCGACTGGTCCTGTGGGGAGACCGGATGGCAAGATTAAACATTACCGCCACGAAACGCTGCCTCTCATGGACGGTTGTCCAGAGACTGGTCCTATAGGGAGACAGGTTAGACATCAGCAGGGTTAGATATCAGGCAGGGTTAGATATCAGCGAACCGCTGCTCCCACGGACGGTTGTCCAGAGACTGGTCCTGTGGGGAGACGGGTTACATATCAGCAGGGTTAGATATCAGGCAGGGTTAGATATCAATAGGGTTAGATATCAGCGAACCGCTGCTCCCACGGACGGTTGTCCAGAGACTGGTCCTGTGGGGAGACCGGATGGCAAGATTAAACATTACCGCCACGAACCGCTGCTCCCACGGACGGTTGTCCAGAGACTGGTCCTGTGGGGAGACGGGTTAGATATCAGCCGGGTTAGAGATCAGTAGGGTTAGATATATGGCAGGGTTAGATATTACCGAACCGCTACTCTTAAGGCCTGGCTACACTATGCGTTTTCTGCGTGCGTTTTTGCAGGTTTGCGTGTTTTGCGTAATATCGTTCTAGGAAAAAAGTTATAAACAATATAATTTTTACTTTGGTTATATACAAAAGCTAATATAATTCTTATATAACTAAAATTTAAGGTGAAAAACATCACAAAAACGTAATATCGTTCTTTTTTTCTAGAACGATATCACGCAAAACACGCAAACACGCAAAAAACGCACGAAGAAAACGCATAGTGTAGCCAGGCCTTTAGGGACGGTTGTCCAGCGACTGGTCGTGTGGGGAGACGGGTTAGACGTCAGCAGGGTTAGACATCAGCAGGGTTGGATATTAGCGAACCGCTGCTCCCAAGAACGGTTGTCCAGCGACTGGTCCTGTGGGAAGAGGCGGAGTGTTAGAGTTGGATACCACCGCCGCGAAACGTTACCACGACTGGTGAAAGTTGTCCTGAGATTAGTCCTATATGGGAGGGCAGAATGTAGGTATCAATGTCAGTGTCAGTCCTGAAGGCAGTGTCAGTGTCTGTGTCAGCAGCTGTTCCCAATCAAGGCTAGCACGACTGTTCCAATGGGAGGGACGCCCAGACGGGACACATTCAGTGTCGGGGGATCACCTCGGAACCTGTCAGAGCAGACCACAGCTGGCGGCACAAATCACAGCACAGACGGCTGTGACGGCGGCGCACCGCACAGCACAGACGGTTGGACCGGCGGCACAAATCACAGCACAGCCAGTTGGGACGGCGGCGCACAGCACAGCTGAGACGGCTGAGACGGCGGCGCACATCTGACCATACAGGTGTGGGACAGGTGGTGGTGGGGTGAGTGACTTAAATGGCTCAAGTGCAGTGTCCCAAAATTGAGTTTTGTATGGGGTGTCAGAGGGGAAAATTACCCACCAAAAAGAGGGGAGAGAGTGGAAAACTGCTGATTCGATTAGATCAAAAAAAGAGTGAAAAACGCCATAAAGCATGGATTTTATTCTAGGGTGTAGAATGATTGATGCTAAACCGGGCATCCACACAACCGCTCTTTCTAGAGGTAAAAAATCTAGGTTTTCTTGGTTGGGAGTGGAAAATTGTTCTTAAAAATTGGTGGTGAGAGTGGAAAATGGATTTCCTTTGGATGTCATTTCCCACCCAAATCGACAAATTTTGGGACATTGCTCAAGTGACAAGCATCGTGGCTGCAGCCCAAAAGTACAGGCACGATAGTACGAGCAGATTAAAATAACGATAAGATTCTACTTCAAATTCATAACCATGCCATCACCGGCAATGATCTGGAACGACACTGGAGAGCAGAGCAATTACCGACGCCCAAAGCCAGCTCCGGCAACAAAAACACCGACGTACCGTCAGGCGTCACCATCATCAGCATCATAGTCATCATGACATCACCATAACACCAAATTCCGTAAGGTGGGGCTATTTGAAACAGTATTTAAAATTGTTATAAAATAAAAAACCGTTTGAAATTTATGCTTAAATTTTGCTCAGGCGATTTACTGCTCGATTCCACGCCTTCCTGAGCAAAAATATCACATAAAAATCAAACGCTCTTCATTTTATAGCGATTTTAAATACTGTCTCAAATAGCCCCACTGTCTCAAATAGCCCCACTTTACGGTACCAACAAGACTAGCATCCTTATCACCATCTTTCCACCATTATCTACAGGAGCACGGGACACCCTCTGATGTTCGGTGAATCGCACATGAACCCAGCCCAAATCACCCTCAGTCCTACCTAGTAACTAAGACAGTGATCTGCAGTTACAGCAGTCACCCATGCTCAGGCTCACCTGTTCTGTGGATCGTACACGGACCCAGCCCATGTGCAGCACACTACTGCCGTCCAGAAGGTCACGTACGCGCTCATTGGTGACCTCGATCGCCTGGGGGCAGGGGCGCGTGGGTCAGAACGGCGACCTCGACCCCAGGCAGCATGGGTGAGATCACACGGGACCACACAGTGAGCATAGTGGTTCGAGATGGCATTGCACCTGGACGGGAACGATGCTAGAAGGAATCATTCACAATAGCCCTGAGTTTGGAAACGAAAACAACTGCAATAGCCCTGAGTTTGGAAACGAAAACAACTAACTAGTTACCAAGACCGTAATTGCCCTAACGCATTGATCATGTTTCAAAACCCCCAACTGAATAGGTATCAAATTAGAATGACTCACAAAGAACTACTCGAATATCGACCTGGAAAATGGTGACTGAGACGGTGGCGGTAATTCAACAAGATGATGGAGACTAAAACGTGATGGCAGGTAAACGAAAGACAACATAAAATGCCATCCAGTGAAGGGTTAATAATGTAAAGGCTTGATCGAAGTCAAGGGATCACGAGTTCACGAGGCGGGAGCGGCTGACCTGCTGCGTCAGGGCGCTCAGTGACGAGTGCAGCGTGTTGAACCAGCAGTTGACCTGGTTGACGTCGGAGGATCGCAGCACACAGCAGTGCAGCAGGTCCTGAGAGTGAATCTCGAAACTGTTGGCATCTGCCGGGCGATCGGCCGCAGGCTGTTAGTGGGGAGATAGCGAGCCGGCTCAGGCTCCCGCTGCTTTGGAAACAGGGTCACAGGATAGGCACATAATACGACTGGTTATACACATAATTAGCTATATTAACAAACAATGCTCGAAATACCGACGGGGCCACGCTTGTCAAACTCAGAAAGCGCCGTTCAGTCTGGTTTCATCATCACAGCATGAGCAAGCAATTCAGAATCACCCATTGTGTCATCTACGGGACAACTACATGACCAGATACACATCACCAGACTCTGAACACATCCTGGAGCAAACTCCACTAATGGCCTACCGGACACCACCCTGCACACCTGACAATACCGGGCGGCTCCCCACGAGTCCTCTCCCCCCCCCCCCCCCCGTGCACTTGGGGGCTGCTCAGTTCTCACCCTGGCACCGGATGTTCCTGGCCAGATGACAGAGCTGTAGACGGATCAGTTTCGTGTCCGGGGAGCGCTCCGGCGGTCGTTCGGAAGGCGAGCTGGCCAGCCGGCCGGGCGTCAGGTACTCGCGCTCCACGTCCCAGCCCAGCTGGCCCGTCAGCGTCGCCTTGCGGAAGTAGCGCTTCACCTCGCGTAGGTACTTGACTGAAACGTAGAACGACGGGACGACTGGGGGGAGAGAGCGGACAGAGAGCGGCCGGGCGGGAGCGGGACCGGGCGGGGGCGGGAACGGGGGGACGGCGAGCTCAGCCGTGCGGCGGCGGCGGGCGGGCGGGGCGGGGGCGGCGCGCCCCGGCTGGGCGGGACACCGCGGCGGCCGGGGCGGCACCGCCAGCATGCTGGCTAACCACTGCGGTACACACACACGGCACACAACTCCACACTTCAGCCGACAGTCTGAGGCAGCCGTGCGGACAGTCTGGGACCGTCAGGGGCCAGAGCTGCCACAGCTGACTGAGGGCGGTTACAGCTGCCCCAGCTCTCCCGCTGCGTCCACTACAGCTGTATCAGCCCGCCCGCGAACGGCGGCCCAGCAAAGCCATTCGATCATCCCCCGAAAGTGCCGAGTCCACCGACATAAGGGCGCACAGTGGAACCCGGCGGCGCGCGCGGAAGCCAAACGGCAAGCACTGATAGAGCGGAGAGATCAGGCCTCAGTAAGGTGAGCCACCATCAAACGGGCAATTAACTAAGCAGTCCATAGAGCAAATCAAATCGCAAACTAGAGGGCAGCCGCGTAATAAACAAACGTTAGGTGTGAGGGCAGTACAAAATGCTCAAGATTAATATGAGAAATGAAATCAAAAGCATGTCAAAATACAACATCCAAGCTTACCGATGGTTTGACGAAACAGCGGACGGTTCCTTTTATGAACACATCATAGTAAAGGTAAAACAAATAACAAATACAGTGATTGTTTTAGCATCCGCCTTAGCTCGTTTTGGGATTGGCTGATAATTTCGAAGTGCTGACGTTGCGTGAATCGTTATAAATATCGTATAACTTACCAAGTCCACCTAACTCCTCTTCCCCTGGCACACAGATAAGTAACGTCACACAGTAGGCGTATCTCAAGCCATAGCCTCGAAACTCCCGCCTCCATCTCTCTTTCCTTGTGACAAATGGCAGAACCTCCGACCCTCCCCCCCCCCCCCCGACGGCCAGCAGCCCGCGTGGCGCACTGACCTTCCAAGATGACCTGTTTGCCGGCACGTTTCAGCGTCTGCACGGCGGCATCATGTGTAGCGTCGCGGAGATCCTCATTGTTGACGAACAGGATGGCGTCACCGACGTAAAGCTGCTCGGTCTGATCGGCCGCCATGCCCTGTGGGCCAGAGGTCAGGTCAGGTCGGGTCAGTAGTTTAGCGGTCATGGAACAATTAGATTTCACAGCGGGTCACACCGAGGCACGCCGGTCACACCGAGGTCCAGCATAACACGATACCGTATAAAAAGGTGAAGGCTGAAAAAATACCGACACACACAGCCAGCATGGGTATCGCTGACAACTGACAGCTGGGCTGTTCCCGATGATCACCGAGCAACGCCTGTCTCCGGTTCTAGATGACATGACAAAAAGGTATGCAGCTTGTACCTTTCACAAGAGTTTCACCATTATTTCTAACAAGCTCGTCGACGTGATTGTCATCGATAGATGGAGTCAACATATCCAAGCAATTTACTGTACCTTGAAAATCTTTGAGATGAGTATGGGCATCTTGTTCTCCTTTCCGCCCTTGATTGAGATGCCGAGGCCGCTGCTCTCGGGTTTGTTGATGACCACGGTCCGCTTGTGGTTGGCGACGGCGTCGGGCACGTCGTCGGTCGGCGAGCTGTCGTTGTTGTTGACCATGTTGTCGGTGACGTCGTCCAGCGTGACGCTGAGGTAGTCGCCCTCCATGCCGACCGTGGCGCTGTACCATTGGTCCTGGATGCATACCTGCGCAACAAAGAGGGAAACACTGCCTCACTCATTGCTTAAGTCGATCATGATGAAAATAGGCATATAATGGAGCCATTTAGCAGCATACTTTGGCATAAGTATTTGATGCTCAACACTGAAAGTTGAAATAACCTTTTGATCACAGCACTACTGATATCAGGGTTTATTTTCAAATATGTTACTATGACATGTAGGTATCCTATGAAAGAGCAACACTCACCTCCAATGGACTGTATGGCTGGTAGGAGATTTTTGAGCTCAGAGTGTCACTCCTGTTCATTGATGATATTGTGTCTGACTTATAGCCAGACTCAACTTTTTGTTGGTGACCATTTGGCTCCATGTGTTGTGCCTGGAACATATGCATGTCTTAACAGCTTTCAGACTTTTGGGCACTAAGTACTAACAGACAATAGAAAATCCAGGAGAGAAGGCATTTATGGTCATTACTGATTTATAAAGCTTTTTAGTGAAAGATACTGGTGAAAGTATATAAATGGAATACCACAAAAGACACATTAAAAAAAGGCTATATAAAATAGATAGGTACATAATTTACAGTAATCTCCAAGTTTTTAACCCCTGGGGCATTCCACGATAGATCGACCAAAGCCGTACACCCTCATATTTTATTTTTTGCTTAAAATTGGTCTAATGGGTTGTGATGGGCGGGGAAGCCAGCTGTGCCGAGGATTTTTTTCTTCGAACAACGGTTTCCGAGATATAGCCTCAGGCAATTCCTGGAGGTCACGCTGCAACCCTATGTTTGGCGGCTTATAACTCAGAAACTATTGGTTTTCTATAGTAAAAACTTTATATGGTTCAACTCGCAATCAACCAACAAACGTTTTGGCTATCTTGGATTTTCGATTTTTGAAAATTTTGATCACGTGACATCTTGACCTTTTATTCGAAGAGTGACCTTGATATTTTCCCAACTGAAAGTCGCAATTATGTCTGATGACGATTAAAGCCTTATCAATTGTCATTCATATGCGCAAATAAAAAAAGTGGCTATCGCCCTGCGTTGACCTCAGGTCAGGTCATTTTTATGACCTGTCCATTATTACGAGCGGGAGCGACGCGAGATCTCGAGAATATAGCAAGATAGCGACAAGCGGTAAACGGTACAGGATTCACACGGATAAGATCTACAATTTTTACGGAGGTCATTTTCAGGTCAGGTCAAAGATGACGTCACAGGGGTAAAAAGGAAGTCAAAATAGTTTTGGGTGTACCTTTTGATCTAATAAAGAAAGAGATGTGGAACAGGCACCATTGTGTTCTTTCGCCTAGCGCCAGTTCGTTTTGAATTTCAATACCGATGACCTAAGATCAGGTCAATTGCTTGACCACCCCATTATAAGTCAATTGGGGAAAAATCAGCTCCCTTATTTTTACACTAAAACGCGTCGGAATTGCCTAATATACCATGAGTGACTTCATATACGACTAACTTTGACTACCTTGAGACCTTTTTTGCTCTTGGTCAACTGTGACGTTGCTCTTGGGTCATGTGACGTCATGAAAGGTCACCAAATGTTTTTTGCATATAATTCCTTACAGGTTTGAGATACAGCCGCGCGGATAGGCTCATTGTGTTCAGCTCGTCAAGGCCCATCGAATGATATATGATGACCTTAAGGTCACGTGACCTAAGGTCAACTTTTGACCTTGACCTTTTGAGGTCAACATACAGATGTTTCGATGCGGATCGACGAGAGGATCACGATGGTGCTATTAGTTTGTTCCTAGCTGGGATACTTTGAAAGTTATTCGAGAAAAACTTCATATATATGTAGTGCCGCCATTTAGACTTTCTTTTTACCCCTGTGACGTCATCTTTGACCTGACCTGAAAATAACCTGAGTAAAAATTGTAGACCTTATCCATGTGTACTTTGTGCCGTTTACCACTTGTCGCTATCTTGCTTTGTTCTCGAGATCTCGCTGTCGCTCCCGCTCGTAATAATGGGAAGGTCATAAAAATGACCTGACCTGAGGTCAACGCAGGCCGAAAGCCACTTTTTTTATTTGCGCATATGAATGACAATTGATAAGGCTTTAATCGTCATCAGACATAATTGCGACTTTCAGTTGGGAAAATATCAAGGTCACTCTTCGAAAAAAAGGTCAAGATGTCACGTGATCAAAATTTTCAAAAATCGAAAATCCGAGATAGCCAAAACGTTTGTTGGTTGATTGCGAGTTGAACCATATAAAGTTTTTACCATAGAAAACCAATAGTTTCTGAGTTATAAGCCACCAAACATAGGGTTGCAGTGTGACCTCCAGGAACTGCCCGAGGCTATATCTCGGAAACCGTTGTTCGAAGAAAAAAATCCTTGCCACAGCTGGGTTCCCCGCCCATCACAACCCATTAGACCAATTTTAAGCAAAAAATTAAATACGAGGGTGTAAATTTTATTTATTTTTGGTCGATCTATCGTGGAATGCCCCCCCCCCCCCCCTACTAGCAGGGGCAGAGCCATTCAGTTTGTATTAGGGGACAACAAATTATTGTTGACTAAACCCAGCAGGAACATCTACTGCTCTCTTCACTATTTAGTATTTTCAAACCACTGCATAAGATATTAAGATTTAAGGCAGCAGCATGAGGATACAAAGCCCAATGGCCAACATTCAATTTAACAGAAAAAGACACTTAAGTCTGAATCTTGGCTTTATCTTCAATCTTGGCTTTATAATGTTATGGTACCTGGACCACTTAATAAAAAACAAGCCTCCACCATGTAGAGGGAGCTTGTTGATACAATCAAGGCCCTGAATCCTGTTTCACTGCATGATGCTGCAGCATGCTATGGCTATGTGAAGCGGTATATTGGGTTTCCATGCAAACATCAACAAACTCAGATGCTCGCAAAACCTAGGCAAATGTCTCAAACACCACACCAATACAGCAGTGTAGTTCAGCGTGCTGCAGCATCGTACCTTGAGAAAGGGCCCAGTTACGGTTTGAAAAACTGATCCCCAGCCTTTTACGGTCAAGATTCATATTGAGCAGCAAAACTGAATTAAGGTTAATTTGGCATTGCCCCACAAAAAAAGCATTACCCCGCATTCGATGTAACTCGGACGACGAAGATTCTAGGTCGTTCGGCCAATCACGTTCAAGGTTAGCGGGGGCTTGGCTGTGGATATGGAACGTTATTGGCCGGACGGCGTAGAATCTTCGTCGTCCGAGACATCAAACGCGGGGTTAGACTAGTTATGATATCATCTTGGTTCCTGTTTAAGCTTAACACTGGCAGTTATTGCAGAAAATGATTAATTAAATCCATATACAGACAGTTTTCGGTAAATGTCAAGTTTAAGTCCTAAGAAGATTTCATTGATAAATTCTTCATATTTTTACATTATTTGACATCCTGAATCCAAAAATGATACTCATATGTCTCGCAAATAAAAGAAAAAAACATAATCAAACCTGACCTAACCTTACCTACTTACCTATAACCTACCAACCTACAACCTACAAACCTACCCTAACCTACAAACCTACCTACCTACAACCTAAAACCTACAAACCTACAACCTAACCTAACCTAAAACCTAAAATTTTTGCTGTTTCATATTCGTATCAAAAGCGCCACAGTTGTAGTTAGGACCTAAACTTGACATATACCCAGTTTTCAACCAGCCTGAACCAAACGCCCACTTTGACTTTATTCAAGCAACTGGTAAATATGTAGATTGTAGGTATCCTTCTTGATGACTAGAAAAGTGCGCTGGTATGAGGCTAGGGGGTAGTATAGTAACCTATAATTATTATCACGCCCCGTTCTCGGTCACAAACCGGTATAATTATACAGAACCAATACAGAACAAACAAATTTCAGAAAGATCGGAAGGAAGATCAAGATCATTCGTGTTCTTTTATCGGCATCAGCGCTGAACGCAAACAAGTATGCAGCATGCACATGTGTGCTTGATTGTCTTGACGCGTGAATTAATTTTAAAAGATAGCCAAATAAAATGATTTTTCAGTTAATATAAATATAAATAAAGGTTTTTCCCAACTTTAAAATCAAGCACCATGAAAAGAAAAGAGCCATTCGAACTCCAATATATTTCAGAAACAGCAGCTACGAAAACAGAATCATCAAGCACATCCCGATGCTAAACAGGTCAAGGATTGTCTCTATAGCGCCACGGTCTATCAAGACGTGATGAAGGCCCTAAATCAAATTTGAAATCGAAATTGAAATCGTGTTGAAATCATTGAATTGGCTAGGTTGGAAAGGAATTGGGATCTTGAATGGGGTACACTGGACTCTGGAGGTAGGTCTTATTGTAATGTGGCCATCAAGCCCCTAAGTCACCGTGCCTATATTGATATCAATAGGGGAGAGTGGGGAAAGACGCCCAGGGTTTTACTATGTCATATATTATTCGAAAATGACGATCGGAAAGCAAAAACTTGGAGTTTCAACGGAAGTCGACATCATTTTTCTCCAAAAATATCACACTTTCGTGCCTGAAATATGATAATTTTTTTTTGCTATTAAGCATTTTCCTGAAGAAGTCAAAGGGGGCATCTTACCTCACAGGGTGGGAAAGACGCCCCCTGGCGTTGGGGAAGATGCCCCCTGCACTATAAGTGACATAAATGGGCACGTGAATCGCCTGAACGAATCAGTAGTCCCTTCGAGCCTGCAGTAGACACCAAACGTCATCGTAAGGGCCCTCAAAAGTGGTCGTGAGGTGCTTCAGAGGTCATCGTTAGGGTCATCATAGTCCAGCGCGGCCAAACAAGCTTCCGTGGTGGCGTTCGGAGACCACTGTGGGGCCCTTATAGGTCTTCATGATGCTTGAGGGCCCTCGAGCCCATCGTGGGGACCTCAGATGCCAGCGCGGCCCGTGGAGCCAACGTGGGAGCCCTCAAAGGATATCGTGAGGGGCCCTGGAGCCAATAATGGGGCCCACCGAGGCCGTCGTGAGGGCTCTCAGAGTCGGATGCCGCCCAAAAAGTCGCTGTGTGGGCCGAGAGACCGGCATGGGGAGCACCCGACCGTATTGAACTCTGAATAGTCCCAGATCGGCTTTTGTCTCTCATCACAAGCATGTAATAAATGATTTGACGGGCTGCTTGAAGGACAGCCTACGGATTTAGGGGGGCGTCTTTCCCCATCAGGGCAGGGGGCATCTTACCCCAAGGTGCCGAAGTAACATTAAATCAGTACAATATGTTAGCCATAAAACTACACCCTGAAACAAACTGTTTGGGACACAGTACACGCATGTTAATGTATCACGACTATACGAGGGCAGCGCTTTTCGAGGAGCGCTGTGGCCCGAAGGTTTGGACTTTGAATTGTGAAAAACGCCCGCCCGCCGCAAAACGCAAACACCGCAAAACGCACGCCCGAAACGCCAACGCAAAAGTCGCAAAAAAATAAACGCCCGCAAATAAAAAAACGCAAAAACGCCGCAAAACAAATAAAACCGCCCGCATTGCACGCCCGCTAACCGCCAAACGAAAACGCCTAAAAATCGCCCGCCCGCCGCCAAAAGCAAGCACCGCAAAAAAAAAACAAAAAAGCGGCCGCCAACCGCAAACAAAATTAACACCGCAAACGACGCAAAAAAAAGAAAACCGCCCGCATCAACCGCCCGCCCGCCCGCCGCAAAAGACAAACACCACAAAAAAAAAACACAAAACGCCCGCCCGCCGCAAAACGTAAACACCGCAAAATGTGCAAAACGCACGCCCGAAACGCCAACGCAAACGGCGAAAAAAAAAATCGCCCGACCGCCGCAAACCACACAAAAAACGCCGAAACGCCGAAAAAATAAAACCGCCCGCACCGCACCGACGCTAACTGCTAACCGAAAACGATTAAAAGTCGCCCGCCAGCCGCCAAACGCAAACACCGCAAATAAGCGCCCGGCCGCAGCAAGATATAATTTATCAACGACTGGCATACCGTTAGGTTGGTCATTTTCGCAAATCAAAAAGATATCTGCAAAAATATCCTAGATGAAAGCGCCCGAGTAAAAAACGGATGGCACGTGCGTGTTCCTCGCCCCCAACTTCCTTCAGGTCAATCGTCATTTGGGTCACCTAACGCATTGACGACCGGCTGGGTGGAATGAACATTGCGCCAAAAAACGTAAGTAAATTGTCAAAAAGAATCCCCAGAATGGTGGATCCCAAAAGTTTGAAACTACCACTTTGACCCACTGGACGACACCTTAAACAGTTGCCGACCGGATGACACCCATTGTTTGGTCACCCACGCCATAGGAGGTATGCATCATGGGTGCGCCGAAATGACCAGAAGTCCCAATTTTCGGTGTGCAGGGTCATTTTCAACGGCACGTGGCACGTGGTTCTGGACTTTTCCGGCCACTTTGCGACATACCCATGGGTAGTGCACCGCATGGTGGTTGATCCGCATGGAAGAAAATGGGGGGGGGGGGGGGTCGTTTGGATCGTTTTCGAGCAATCTGCCGTGGAACGCATTTTTCATTTTGCCCATTGGCTTAACACGGGAATTTTCAAAGTCACGTGGCACGTGCACCAGATGGTCCGCGGAGGGGAGACCCATACCAGAACGTAGATCACCTGGCCCACTAGAAATCCTGAAAAAATCAGATTTTTTGGAACAGCCGTTTTCAAGAGCATCAAGTTGTACTGATCTCAGGCAGCTTTTGCCAAATTGTCAGGGAACTCAGATTTGTTTTTCAATAGAAAAACACAATTCTAAAGAATAGTGTTTTAACTATTGACAACAAACCTTCGGTTATCAAGGGACGCAAAAATTATCTACCTTCTTTGATATTTACAATGTTTTAACACCAAAATATTTTTCGAAAGCAGCAAATAAAAAACATGCATTCACCAGCCAGCCGTTGCCCAACTGAGCTTCGCAAATTTTTGTGCAGTTAACAAGGCAGGCTTCCGCTTTACGCTAAGAACATTAATTTCCGGGTTCAATTCTTTGTTTCGCCGCTAGAGGGGGTGGGGCGTCTTTCCCACCCTGGGCATCTTACCCCGCTCTCCCCTATAACTAATGTATTGCTGGCTGCATTGGTATGATGATTACCGACTGGGATTACCTAGGCACCTATTTTAAATCTCAGCAGGGGGCCTAGGGCCAGGGGGTCATGGGGGGGGGGAGAGGCAGTAGCCAAGGGCTCATGCCCCCCTGAAGGCAAAAAATAAAATAGAATTAAATAAAAAATTGAATGATTGAAGCTAAAACCATCATGGGAGACCGGATGCCGATGCCGGTGCTCCTGGAGTCTCGCGACGAGGCGGTCAACGTCCACCAGCTGCGGGCGGGACACTGGAGCCGCTCGCAGAACTACCTGCACAGAATTGGATGCCGCCCCGAGCGTGACTGCCCACAGTGCAGTGGCCTGGCCTGCCCGGCGGCGCGCTGCCTGGTGTGTCGCGAGGGCCCGGACACGCTAGAGCACGTGCTGCTGAGTTGCCCGTGCTTGGCTGGCGCTTGGCTCCGGCTACTCGGCAATATCAGACCGGACCCTACGCAGCTTCGGGACGGCGGGGCTGTGGCGGCCTTGAGCCGCGGCTACCTCAGTCACCAAGAGCCGTTGGGCTACGGTCGGCCGTGAGCCGACCCGGGGAGAACAACAACTATAACCACTAAAACGCAGCTATTAACTTTCGTCGAAAGAATCCGAGTTTGTTGCATTCTGCACTCTAAAGCATTCATAAACGAGATGCTCTCGGCTCATGTGAGCTGCATGTGAGGGTTTGGCGTTTGTCGTTCGGTGGTACGGCGAGATGTGCAATGTGCATACTGCATTGCTGATGGCAGGCGTTGAGGACCGCCACTTAGCCGCGGTAAAGTGCAAAATAATCAAATCCGCCGCGAATGACTTGCCTATCAGATTTGTTGTTTGATACCTACAGCTGTGGCCTGTTGAGAGATGCGGAAAATGCATGCAGGTGATGGGCCCACATTGTGCCATTCATATTGTTATTTTTTTAACTGAAGCCTTCACAGATTGTCAAGCCATTTAGCTAAATGGCAGTGTCGACACCATTGAGGTAATCATGGAAGGCAGACACATCACACAATTATCACCCTGGATGAATCGTAAGAGGCAGGTACCTATTGAATGTGGTTCTTCTATTGGATGGCCTTGGACGTGACAAGCTTTTTGTTTGAGTAGTGTGGTGCGTATTTCTCATTTCGTTTCCATACCACTGGGCACTGAGTGGGCGGGCTTGCGGCTCGTATCAATTCAATAACATAACTGAACTGAAGTCAGGGCGGCTTCAACTGGTCACTTTGGGGTTCGGTGGGGATTTTTTGTAATTTCGGCCGGCTTCGGTGCAGATTTTCCGGCTCTGTTTGAAGGGTTGGTACGGATTTTGAACTGGGGCCGGTGCGCCTCGTCGACCCACGGGCCATACTTTGCAGTATGGGTGGGTGGAGACTCGTACTCATTGTCAGAACATAGTCAGACTTAGACAAATGATGATTGCCAAAGGTGGTACCGACTTGAGCTAGTGGTGCAATTTAAACTGCAGTCGTAACTCGTACTTATTTTCAGAACTCGTACTTATTGTCAGAACATCTTGCAGCACCCGTAGGAAGAGCAGAGAGTACTTACCTATGTGACCATCTCAAGAGGCCAACACTGGCTAAAATCCTCATGTAGAACTTGACTATTGAGTCATTGACTGAGCTAAACTGTAAACAGGAACATTTATTGACAGCTCTTGATGAGTGACCTATTGGTAGGTACTTCACTATTTAACCCTCGCCCATGTAGGGGGGGTTGGTGCAACCCCCCCCCCTCCCCTGAGGCTTTTCGGAAATAGTGCAAAAACGGCGGCGCGCAGCGCCGCCAAATTATGGGTACCTTATGGGGCAAACCTTGCGCATCTTTTGATAAAAAAAAATTGACCGGGTCATGTCAGGTCACGGAGTTATGACGTCACAAAGGGAACAGCCTCCGGCCGGATTTTCACAAACTGAGTGCCAACGCCCGAGGTTTCCTGCCGGTGGTACGGACATCGGTTGATGGATCGTGATGAAACTTCCCATGCATGTTGATTGTTGGGGCAAGTATTGGCTATCATATGGTATAAGAAACTTGACCGGGTCAGGTCAGGTCACGGAGCTATGACGTCACAAGAGGAACAGCGTCCGGTACTATTTTTGAAAAGCGCCCGAACCACTATTTTGCTAATTCTTGTCACCTCAATGGGAATATGCAGCAATATTAGCTTCTATAGGGAGCAAATGGACCTCCCAAATCCAAAAATTCAATCAGATTTCAAAAATTTAAATTTTGATTTTTCGAATTTCTGCCGCCGACTGTGACCTTGCCGATTTCCGGCGCTCCCAACGCGCCATTTTTAGAGCTAGGGAAACGAAATACATACCAAACGATAGAGAATTGATCAAGGAACACGATAGTGAAGGTTTCAAGTCGATATCTCCCACCGTTTTGCCGCAATCGCCGCGGAAAGTTAAAAAAGTCTATTTTTCCGAAAATTTGACCTTTGACCGGTCAAAAGTAGGTCAAATGTTGACCTAGGACCAAAAAATATACCACCAATCGCGAATCGCGAGATCTCGGCGAGAGCAATCCGTTGGTCTTTTCCGCTAAGCTCTACGACGCTCCGTTTTCAAACGCCAAGGGGGGGTCGCACCAACCCCCCCCCCCCGCATGGGCGAAGGTGGCAGATCGCCGTTTACGGGCGAGGGTTAAAAGCCGATATGATTGCAGGTTGTGGGATCCTATGGCTCCCTCATCCCTTTTGCGGGGTCTCCCCCAATGGGGTAGACCGTTGTGTGCCGACTACCAGGCTATTCGAGATGGGGCGAGCCTGGAGCAGTTTGTGACGCTGCTGTGCTGGGTCAGTGCTCCTGCACTTGGGCCGTTTTATGGGTATCTTGCTTGGAAGGCTCTCCCGCTGCGCGACTTATGAGGTCAGTCGCCCTCTTTCTGCCGAGCCGCCTCGCAGAGCGGTCGTTATTTGCTGCTTCACCGCTGGGTCCTTTGTTCTCTGCTCACACTACTCTGATAGCTGGTAGAGCACATTCTTGGCCATTCCACGTTGACTAGGTGCGTTATGTCTTTTGACCCATTTTCCTTTAAGATGCCATCTAATACTGCCCTGGGGCGCAAAATGAACTTTGGAGTTCGTAGTCGACACGACCTCAAGCACCAATGAACAAACCAATCCTGCCTTGGTCGGTCGAGCTGCTGGACAATGAAGGGTCCCAACTGTCATCCGCTTTGCTGGGCACGAAGATGAGCATAACTCACGCCTAGCACACTTTAGTATTAATGTTTTGAATGCCTCACACTGGTCAAAGTGCGATAGGAATCAACTGTATTTCAAAGTGTTCCATTTAAAAGAAACGTTGAATGGGCTGTCGATTTCGAGTTTGCATCCGGCATCGGCATACCATCACATGCTGATATTTGGTTGAATTTTATTTCGACATTGCTTGCGTCTTGCGGGATATGCAGTTATTTGCCTAGGGTGTACAGATGTCGCCGAGCATACATATTGTAACCGGAATACATGTCAGGTAACTTTATTCTGAAAGTGAAGTGCCGGACATTTTTTTCAGCTGATCGCTGAAAATTGACTACCTACAGAGAGGATACCTTGTACCTATACATCTAGATTCTAGGGGCTATATGATGTATCACTCAGGCGCAAGCGCCCGTCGTTTTCCGAGACTGCCGTGCGCTCTGCTCCGCCGCAGTTTACTTGTCACCGCTGTGCGTCACGTTGGCGGCAACGGCATCGACGGGCGTCTCGGACACCAGAAACTGTGCCATCACGATGACATAGGTGAGCACGGTGGAGATGAGGCTGAGCAGCGTGGAGCGGCGCAGCCGGAACAGGCCCAGCTGGCCGACCGTCTCCAGCTGGCGGCCGGCCTCCTCGCGCTGCAGACCGGCCTCAGCGGCCAGCGCCGGGTGGCGGCGCTCCAGACTCAGCAGCAGCGCCCAGCGCCGGCCGGCGGCCGACACCAGCTGCTGGCTGGCCTCGCACGGACCGGCCAGAGTCACCCAGGCGCTGCAGATGTACGGCAGCACCAGCGACACCAAGTCTTCCGCGTCTTTGGCTGTGACGCGCATGATGAGTACGACCAGCGCCGAGACGCCGTACAGCATGGTGGGCACCAGTTCAGCGGCCATGCCGTCCGTTAGGCGAGTCAGACAGGCCGAGATGCGGCACTGCGCCCGGCCGAGCAACTCCAGCCGAGCGGCGGCGTCCGGCGGGCGACTGTTGACCAGAGACTCCAGCGCGACGTTCACCGCGTCCGAGCGAGACCGCAGCCGGCGGGCGGCCCACATAAACTTGGCCGGTACCAGCAAGAACGGCAGCATGAGGAATAGGTCACGCTGGACTGTGACCACAATGGATAGCAAACACATAGGGACGAACGGATGGCATTGCCGAACAATGGCGACCGCGCTTCCACACAAAGTGGTGAATGGCGGAATGATGACGAGCAGCCAGATGTCCAGGTGGGAGAGCCGGTTCCTCCACCGCGCCGCCGCTGTCGTTTTGGGTAGTTCGGGAGGGATGTCTGGCATCTTGTCGAGCTGCGTCAGTACTCTCTCGTAGCGACGGCGACCACAGAAGAAGGTAACCGTCAGCGAGGTCCAAGCGATCAGCGGCATCATGCCGAAGAAGTACGTGTGCGTCATGGTCGTCATATATCCGGCGCCGGCCTTCCGCAGTCGCAGACCCTGTTTGAAGAGGCTGACGGTGACCTTGAGCGCTGCCGTGGTGGTCAAACAGTAGACCAGCGTGGCGTACAGGCTGGAGCGCCAGCCGGACCGACTGGTGGACGCCGTCGCCCTCAATAGCACCACCAGCAGCCGGCGCTGCACGGGCGGCCGACCGGCCGGCGTGACCTGACAGGACCTCGTCGCAGGTCGGCCCGTTTTGATACGCACCAGTGTCATGTTGGCGGTAGAAGACCGCTGGATGTCGGGACTCTGGCCGACAAAGTCACGCCTATTCACGGCTAGGTAGTCCCTGGCCGACTGCCCCGATGGACAAACCGCTGGTCTCTCCGGTCACTAACAGCCTACCCGCTACCAGTGGACCCGTTCGCAAATGTCCAGCTTACAATCGGGGGACCGCTGCGCCATATATTGGATCCAGGGGGCACTCTTCGGCCGCCGGTCTAGTGTATGGGTCCGCCATCCGCTGTTTGCTGATCGAACGGGAGCATGGTGCATGACACCGACGGGCTTTCAGTGTGGGTCCGGAGGCGCTGCCACAGTTTACCAGCCGCCCGAGCGCCGTTGTTCCGCAGCACACACGACACACAAGTGTGGTCCTCGTTCCATTAGTGAATTGGGACTCTGTTTGCCCCAGGCTGAACGGGCTTTTCTTGGGACGTTTGCGACGTGACCTTTGTTTGTCGTTTGCAATTGATGGGTGACTCGGGACTCGGTGTTGCCACAACTTTGGAAACGCTCCACTATGTGGGCTCATTTTGACAGTATACAAGCTCGTGCTAACAAATGGTTGAATGAAGGCACGGAACCTATAAAAGAAGTGTCGACAAGGAGTGTTAAATTATTCTTATTTTACCCTACCTGTTTGTAATCTATGTCGCACTTCTTAACGCCTTTCCATGTAACCCTTCCCAACCTCCTCCCTCCTAGTTTGCATATGTAGTGCTTTAACAGATTATTCTCTTTTTTTCAGCGCTCGAAACACCTAAGTAGTACTTAGGTGTTTGGTGAAGTGGAAATGGTGAAGAAATTACTGGTAAAGCCACATCATAATGTCATTCAAGATAACGACCCTGAGGCCTTGCAAGATGTTATGGGAACCAGTAATTATGAAATAGCTAATTCTAACCATTCCTATGATCAGTGTGTCAGAGATGCGGCTATCAGTGGGCGAGAAACCCGTATAGAAGACCTGGATGACGTTCAAAATGTTGAGACACTGCCGGAGGACGTGTTCACTCCAGATGTTGTCTTGGTAAGAAATATACTTCATAATGGGACCTCCTCTCATTTGCTGTAATTAGGAATAAGAAAGTGTAAGGAAAGTGTAATCCATGCGTTTATTCCAAGTGTAAGTTCGCTTCCATATAGCCTGAACACAAAAGCAAGTCATTGTTAGAGATTCGCAGGTATCTGTTTCATCCTACCCGTAACTTCTAAACTGCCCCTGCCCCCAACCCTGCCCGTGACCTCTGACCTTGTCTCCGACCCCTGATCGGTGCCCCAATGGCCCTGACGTTCGACCCAGCCACCTGACCCCTGACCCCTGCTGGCCTACAGACCGAGCAAGAGGTGGAGGTCGCCGCTTATGCCACGCTGGGCGCAGACAGTCGCTCGCGCACCGTGCCTGCTGTGGTGCTGGTAGGTGGTCTACTCACTCACTCACTAACTCACTCACTCACTCACTCACTCACTCACTCACTCAAGCGAGCCACGCACGCACAAAAACTCACTGCGTCACTCGCTCACTCACTCAATCACTCACTCACCCACTCACTCTCTTAATCACTCGCTTACTCCCTTACTCATTTGCTCGCTCACTCACTCACTCACTCATTCCTTCCTTCTTTCATTAATTCATTCATTCATTCACTCTCACTCACTCACTCACTCACTCACTCACTCATTTACTCACTCACTCACTCTTTACCCTCGCACTCATGCATTCACGAACTCACTCGCTCATTCATTTACACATGATTTACCGATTCGAGCTGATGGTTTTCTCAGGGTGGTTTTCTGGCTCAATAATTCACAATCACTCACTCTATCAGTCGAATATCCTCCCTTATTTGTAGTATACGCTGACACGTGTTTTCAGTCACATTATTAGAACAGCCTATTGTGTCTGACTTGCGCTCCAAGTGTTCTTGTCACGTTTTGCTTAATGTTTTACGATGTATGAAAAACTGTTAATGCTCTTTTCCATTATTTGTTACTAAGCTATTTATTTGTTTATTCATTTTCCTGGAAGGTCGCACATCGGAAATTTCCTTGGTGGAAATCCACAGGCACCACTTTTAACGACACATACTGGGAAAAGTGGCACCATTCTTGTCACCAGAATAATGCAATATTGACCACTCGCCTTCGCCGAGTCAATCGTGATTCACTGTGTATGATATTGTGTCGCCACGACTGACACGTTTGTCCGTTGCCAGGAAGCCAACATGTGTCCGGTGGGCTGCGGCGCATCGATCAAATCCGAGAATCATCTCCGGGAACATCTGGAGAAGGTGCACTCGACGCCAATCGGAAAACAGCTCAAACTTTTCCCCAATATGGGAAGTAAGTGGCCCGTGGTGCACAGTTTTGGAGGTGCATGAATGTCAGTCATGCATTACCCTGGCCCTCCCTGTTGGTAAAAAGGAGCACGGTTTTATGCATGTAGATTCTAATCTCATAACATCACAATGTTATAGCATCGTCATTGCTAACCACATTCGCCATTCCCTTGAGAACCATGCAACTTGCCGATTGCAAATGAGTGCTGTTTATCCATTAGTTACCGATATCGGGCCAGTTTGAGTGTGTATCTCAATAACTTCTTGCATACCTGTAAAATGCATTTATTTTTATTGCATAATTGCGAGAACCACCGCAGCTCTAACTCGCCTTTGTGCGTTTAAGTATCGTACTGAGCCGATAATATTCAGCATTTGCGGACACCCACATTTTTTACTATGTCACCATTGTTCTACCGAACAGTTCATTGTAACGGTACGATAACACTTGGTAACGGCTCGGTAACGGTACGGTAACGGTATGACAGTTGTGTCCGGTGTCCGACAGAGTTCCTGGCGTGGAAGGAGGCCCGCGAGCGAGAGTCGTCTCGCCGTTACGTCGTGCGAGAGAAGAGACAGGGCTGGCGCCGGTTCGCCTGCTCCAGGTTAGACAGAGGCAGAGCTCTCGCACCCTTTATTTTCTACTACGGAATCACCTTGTCTGATAACTGTGTGTTCCGTTAGTATGCTGCATAAACAAGGAGGCAGCGTTATGAGTGTTTAGTTTGATAGCATCTTCAAAGTTAAAATCATGAATTACAGCAAAAGGCCTCGACGTTAATGTGTTCTTGTTACCGGAAGGCACCCTTATCATGAACGTAGAGAACGCTATATTCGTACCCTCGCAGCCTCCTACATATGTGATTCACGACTTTCATCTCGAACACTTCCAAAGTGGACTTTGACCCTACCTGCGTCTCTGTGACCCCAGGTCGGGTCAGCCGTCGGGCACGGACCGGCCGCAGCGCTGGAAGAGGACGGGCAACTTTTGTCCGGCGTTCATCCGCAGTTCGACGCGCCGCGACGGCTCCGTGAAGGTGCGCTTCTGGCTGTTCCACACGTGCAAACAGCCGGACAACACCCCGCTGCCCTCTGAACGGGAGCTGGCCAAAGGTACGGGCAGGGGAGGTCCCATTGGGGAGGCAACTAGAGCCGTGATTAGATGATGGGACCGCTGAATATAGTTGATGGAGATTGGATGAGAAGCGCAAGGTATTTCAGTTGATGAGGGAGGCATCTATAGCCAGTGGTGCGGACAGAGTGGGAATCCTATCGGTGGGGGTCGGGAGCTAACCGTAGGTGCGGATGGATGGGAGAAGGGTGCCAGGGTTCTCGGAGAGTATCTGTTTGGCAATCAGGTTACAGTGACTCATAGGCCGGGCCGCTGACTGCTGGGAGATTTTCTGCGCTGCTGGGCCAGGTGGATGGGACTCTTGACTCTTGGATGAGGTTGAATAGTATTGATGGTGTGCTGTGAACTTTGTGAACCGTATCACCTGACGAAGTATCGTCCCTTCAGGCGATATTGTCGCATGGGCCATTTACGAATCCATCTGCGACATGCTGTGTGATAACGATATCTTGTCCCTACACGACATCCCCGATGCCTTGCTGTGCCATTCTCTCCGTGACGTCACCGTCCTTTATGTTCCCTCAGCCAATGAGCAGCTAGAGCTGCTGGAGCGGGCCATTGTCGGCATTCCAACCCGGCGGCGGGGGCGGAAACCAGCGAACGGGGACGCGAGGCTCGGCTCTGTGCACGAACCACCGGGGCAGGAGGCGGAGACGGCGGAGGCGGCAAGGGAGGAGGTATGTGGCAATATGATCCGTGTATGTTTGCTTGCATGTGCGTGTTGATGCCTGAGGGGGTCTTACTTGTAAGGGGCTAGTTTCCACTTTGATCGTTTTCATTGATGTCTAGTCTCAAAACTAGTCTATTTTCCCAGATTTATGGTCCAGTGCCGGTTTAACCAAGTGGGTAAACTCTTGAATAGTTTGGGGTAAAGATGGTGCTAAAATGTTTGTGGTGCCTAAGACATAGCTACTTGCTGTGTAAAAGAATCGTTCTGAATTTTACTAAAAGACAGCGTAAGCGCACGGTCGTCAAGTTAGATGTAAGTGAATCCTAATCTATAATCTAAGATTCGGAATCAGGTGAGCCCCTACGATTTGGACCAAAATTGGTCAGTGGATAGTACGTAACGTCCTGATTACGATGCACCCAAAATCTAAGCTCGGCCCGCCATATTTACGAAGTTACGGATGTTTGAATTTCAAGGTCATTCGGGAGAGCCCCTACGATTTCCGTCAAAATTTGTGTACGGACACTCTAGATGCTCCTCATTACGAATATCACAAAATTTAAGCTCGGCCCGCCATATTTACGAAGTTACGGAGGTTTGAATTTCAAGGTCATTTGGGTGAGCCCCTACGATTTCCGTCAAAATTTGTGTGCGGACACTCCAGACGCTCCTCATTACGAATATCGCAAAATTTAAGCTCGGCCCGCCATATTTACGAAGTTACGGAGTCACAAAGTTACGGAATTTCAAGGTCATTCGGAGAGCCCCTCCGATTTTCGTCAAAATTTGTATGCGGACACATTACATGCTCCTCATTACGAATATCGTAAAAGCTAAGCTCGGCCCGCACTATTTCAAAAGTTAGAGATGTTTGAATTTCAGTGAGTTTCAAACGTCAGTAACTTTTGAAATAGTGCGGGCCGAGCTTAGCTTTTATGATATTCGTAATGAGGAGCATGTAATGTGTCCGCATACAAATTTTGACGAAAATCGGAGGGGCTCTCCGAATGACCTTGAAATTCCGTAACTTTGTGACTCCGTAACTTCGTAAATATGGCGGGCCGAGCTTAAATTTTGCGATATTCGTAATGAGGAGCGTCTGGAGTGTCCGTACACAAATTTTGACGGAAATCGTAGGGGCTCACCCAAATGACCTTGAAATTCAAACCTCCGTAACTTCGTAAATATGGCGGGCCGAGCTTAAATTTTGTGATATTCGTAATGAGGAGCATCTAGAGTGTCCGTACACAAATTTTGACGGAAATCGTAGGGGCTCTCCCGAATGACCTTGAAATTCAAACATCCGTAACTTCGTAAATATGGCGGGCCGAGCTTAGATTTTGGGTGCATCGTAATCAGGACGTTACGTACTATCCACTGACCAAGTTTGGTCCAAATCGTAGGGGCTCACCTGATTCCGAATCTTAGATTATAGATTAGGATTCACTTACATCTAACTTGACGACCGTCGTAAGCGCGACATCCGCCGTATTTCTTCCATATTTTGATGTTCTATTCCGTTTCAACATCTGTTGACACGCGTTTTGTGTTCGGTCAATTGCAATGCAGTGGATTAATATGAGCATGTATTACATGGCGAAATATTTCCGTATATATGCATTATACCTCGTTTTTACTCGAAGCACTAGCCGGTTGAGGCTCCAGCTTGTTTTTCATTCTCATGTTTTAGTCACTAGGGCATGCCATTGTTCTCTTCTAGATATGCAGAGTGAACAACTGTAGGAAGCATTCTAAAATTTGTACAAGTTTAAACATTTGCAGGGAAATGGACAAGTCTGGCCACCTGGATTACTGTTCTTTCATGGAGTTCTTGTGGATTTGTTTATTGTTATGCATATCCTGGCCCCTGGGTCGTTATTAGTCTTGCCACAGGACATCGAGGTTTTGTAGCAGGTCAATGAGCGCTTAAAGATATAAAAAACGCAACTTAGACGGTCCACACAGTTTCATTGTAATGCTCTATGAAGTTTGTTATTATTTTGATATTATGCTGTCATGTGTATTTACTATGCGGTGTCCATTTCTGTTACCCGGACACACCCAGTACGGCATGGACATGGCCAGCTGTTACGGCGCCATTTTTTCACAGTGCTTTTCATTATAGCTTCTTCAACATCTCATGCGTGGTCTGTTTCGTTGTCGATTTTGCAGTCATTTCCGTCTGGTATGTAGTGCCGCCGTTAACTGTGGTCCTTGCTCTCTACTGCTCTGTGCATGTTTCTCACACCGATTCTTTAGTGACCGTGTCGGCTCCGCCCCTCCCTCAGGACGATCCACGGACCGCTCCTGCTGCGGCCGCACCCTCCAGCGCACTACCAACCGGCCCACAGCGTCGGCCGGTGGACGAACCGCAGCGTACCGGTACCTCCCCGAGCCAACAAAAAGCCAGGCGAGTGACCGCCCCACGGTGGGCCCTCATACACCTCCGCTGACTCACCAGCCGAACCTCTAATTAGTCCCCACCGGAACATCTCGGGCGCTGCGGCCCCACGATTTTAATTGACTCGACATCGCTGAATGTTCCTGGTTGGGTTTTTATCGGGCGACAATGAATGACCAATGCAGGCGCGTTTTCCTGACATTTGGATCCATTGTCGGTAGTGGTGGCCGGTTGCGTGTCGTGAACCATTGTGCCGGTGGGCCTCCTTACCTTTGTGGGGCTCTTCACGTGTGCGAGTGACGGGTGACGATTTGGCCCACCCGGGTCCGGAATGGTCCTGGGTACCAGACTAATGCCTGAGCTTGGTCTTTGATGATGATCGGGGCTTAGGGGCTCCACAACCGTGAAGTTATATAATGTACAACTGGTTCCTCATGGGGTTTATCTGGGAGGGAGACGGGGGGAGTGTTGAGACGGCCTGCCTGTGCCCCGTAGGTGGTGGAACTGACTGAGGCCGACATTGATATAATTGATCCGTGGTCTTTCAGGCCTAAAGTTTTTGCAATATTTGAAACATAACAAAACAGCAACGCGGTTACCAAAAGAAAAATGGTCGCATTTATCGTATAGCTAGGAAGGTAGTGATGTCATCAAGTGGAGCGCAACAAAGAAGTGTAAAACAAACCCCATGAGCACCTCCGAGTATTCAGTGGACGACAGGTCTCTTCAGTCGGCCATATGTAACCTGCCCTCTCCCTCCGCCAGCGGGCTGTCCACTGCACCACGGGCCGGCGCCGGGGACGCTCCCGACCCCTCTGTAAAGCACCGTGTGCGCACCAACCTGCTGAGACTGCACTCGAAGCTAGAGCGGGCCTCGGCGGAGGAGGCGCGGCAGATGCTGGCGGACACGGAGGAGCTACTGGAGCGGTATACCAGGCTGAGGCAGCGCGGCACCAAAGGTCAGTACGGTCAGATCAGTACAGACCTATTCTCACCTGACTTGGGGCGTTACACGAGGCTCAGACAGAGGGGTACCAAAGGTATCTGCGGAGTACGGACATAGCCTGACCTGACTTGGCGTGCGATGACTTTAGACGGAGACAGCGGAACACCAAAGGAATATCATCCACGAACCTGACTTGACCCGAACCTGCAGATCTGACTTCGCTTGATTTTCGCTGGATGTAATTGCCATATGTGAACTGACTTGATCCGTACCGGCCTCACCTTTACTTACCTGAACTGTTCTCCTGTTGACCTCACGTGACCTGCTCTTACCTAATCGGTACTGACATTGAGTCCATTTTGAGCGTATCGATCCTCTGAGCTGGCCTTCCGATAATATTTTTATTTCTACTTTGTAACAGTCACACTCTGAACGTATGGTGAGGGTGATGCCTGCCTCCAAGGTAGGCAGTCTCCTCACCGGTGGCCCCCATCAAGTCTTCCCACCCGGGCCGCTATCCCGCCCCCACTGCCCAGCACTCACATCAGCAGCTTGCCCAGACCATGACTTGGCAGCAGGTTCCATGTGTGCTCAGGCCGTACACCGTTATGTTCTCTGTGTGCTCAATGCTCGACGATGACTTTTGAATTCTATCTTTACTATAGAGACGTTGTCTTACCCAGTACGAATGCTAAACCTCCGTGGCCGTGCTATCCGGACCGCGGACGTAGCTATGCGCAGTTGACACATTTCTGGCCGGTCTGGAAATGCGGAACTGTCAATGTCGCCCGACACAGTTCTTTGTTCAAGTGTGGGGTGCATGCTGCCCGAGTGTTTAGGACCGAGCCAAACATGGCAGTGGCGTCGTCACAGCTCCATAGGTGGCTCGCTCCGACCGTTTGACCCGCGTGTCGTACGTGTCTGTTGGCGGATGGGGAAAATTGGCCGTCAGATGGGGAAAATTGGGCGCGTATTTAGTGCATGGACCTCGGCCGCCAGCACGTATCTTCAGACACGCAGTCATGGTCCTGCTTATGACACGGGAATGTACCGCTGATTGATAGCCTATGGGGGTGAGCTGACGCCACGAATGTTCCAAACGCCCGCGTTGTGATTCTGTCACGTACAAAGCCTTTGTGTGGTAGAGGGCAAGCTCAACGAGTGACCTGTATGACTAACCAAACGTCCAAAGTGCAACAACTCGGCTGTGGAAGTAGAGATCCAATGTACCCTGAGTCACCTACCTACCTTTCTGACCTCAACTAAGAGACAAATGTGCCTTGTGTGACGTGATACGGAATGTAATCTAAGTGGACTATATCATGTGTGACCTGCGTGACCTGACGACACTCCACCTGTGTCGGCAGGGAGACCGCTCGGTCGGCGGGTGCCGGCAGGCGCTGAGGATCCACCAGACTCCAGCCGCCCCGCTCCCGGCACCGCTGCCACCGGTACACGCGGTGCCCGGACCGGACGAGGTCGAGGGAGAGGTCGAGGTCGAGGTCGAGTCACGGTGGCCCGGAGAGCCGGTCAGTGGGTCGGTGACGGGGACGGGACGTTGGGCCTGGTCGAACACGGGGAGAGTGGTGGGAGTAGCGGGTTGGAGGGAGCAGAGGGCTTGGAGGGTAGAGTGGAAGGAACAGAGGGAGAAGCGGCTGTGACAGAGGAAGGGCAGATGGATACCGGAGGAGAAGTGGTTGGGATGGAAGAGGAACTAGTGGGGACCGAGGAACTGACGGACCAAGAGCCGATGGAAGGAGAGATAATCCAACTGGACGAGGAAGACGTGCTCAGGTTTAGGTTAGGTGATGACGGTGTTCTGAGGATTGGCGAGGACGGCGTACTGAGTTTAGGAGAGGACAGTATTCTAAGGATAGATGACGATGGTGTGCTGAGGATAGGTAGTAAGGACGGCACCCTCTCAGGAGAAGCGCTCCAGTTGGGCGCGCAGGAGGTGCTTCAGGTGGACTACTCTGACAACTAGCCCCTCAGGAGAGTCGAATCCAGCGACCGGTAATAGTGCCACTAACGACTGTGTGTGTGCTTTGTTCTGTGTACGCGGGCTAACTGAATCAGGAGCACCGCTGTTGATCCGCGCTACATTCAGCAGGATGTATTTGGCCTTAGTGACAGCGGCGGCGTAGTATTCGGTGGTCAGTGGTCAGTGGAAGGCGAACTTTTTGTGACGTTGTTTTCTTATCTACCCAGGCGTATTTTTGTAAATGTTGTTCCTAGCATCATGGATTGTTAGTGCCAGGTTTTTGTTTGCAGGTATTATTTATTTTCGACGACCATTATTGTCACACAATCATTCAACTTTGTTATATAACCGATCAACGTATCAGGAACTCACAGTCTGCAAACGTTAACCGCAATACACATGAACTGTGAGCAATGAGTTTACCTGGCATTTCGTTGATTGTTACCACTCCACGTTTGATGATGCCCGCCCTGTCTAAAATTGTATCGGCCGAACCGTTTGAGTGACCCGTAGAATCAATGAGCATTTGTGTTTGTACGTCTATCCGTGCCGGATTAATGTCACAGACTCTAAGGGCATTGGTAGTGCACCTAACCGTTGTTTCGGTGTACTTAACCCTCGCATGTGTAGGGGGGGGGGGGTCGGATGGACCCCCCCATGGTTTTTCGCGAATAACTCGCGTAAAAAGCGGCCGATCGCGACGAAACTTTCAGTACCCTCGCATTGATCAATTTGACACCTACCCTGAAAATTTCATGACCCTGACCCAAATGACCTTTGACCTGTGACCTCTTTTCCGAGATCATGTTTGGCCGGAATCGCGATTCGGCGTATGTCGGCTCGCATTAGCCGCGCGTTTGCAAGCTTTTCGTGGTTTCAAACGTTCAAACATGTGATTTGATGTTGCTTCCATGCATTAGGGTGGGTGTCAAGGTCACCTGAAGGTCAGGTCAGGTCATTGACCTTTGGTGACCTCGGGTGACCTCGGTTCACTTTTTCGAGCTGTACATGTTTCTAGGCTAGTTTTTGGAGCTGAATTCGAATTTAGCAACCATTTGAACATTTACGAAGTAGTTTTGGTGCCTTCGTAACATGTTACGAAGCTGTCAGAGGCGGTTGACACGTACTACGAATACCCGTCACGACGCCTACTGGTTGACCTGACCTGACCTGACCCGACCTGGTGTAAATGCTTAAAGACATCATCTCTGATCAAAACTAACACGATATTCGTGATCAGCACCCCGAAAAACCCCTTAGCAGCCACACTTTACGACTTTCTAATAGGTCCCGATTTTCCCGACTTTGGGTCATTGACCTGACCTGGAAGGTCAACCAATGACCTAGGACCTTAAAATGGGGTATCATCGGCTTCCTCTCGTCACGGGCAACACGCTCGTTTTTTCCGCGAAGCTCTAGCTCGATCAGGGGCCAAACGGCAAGGGGGGGTCCAACCGACCCCCCCCCCCCTACACATTAGAAGCTGGAAAACGCCGCACACATGCGAGGGTTAAAACGACTTTTTATTATTATTGATCCACATGATTTTAACCGCAGCAATGTTTAATGGCCTCATGTTGGGAACAGTATTGAGTGCTGACCATATTAGGGAGCGTGACGGACTTCAGCACTGATCAATCACCTGCGGCTTCGAAATTTTTCTCGGTCTCCAAACTGGTCAAGCCTGTTAGCGAATCCTGAAGTTAATTAATGGATCGGTGCATCTGTTTTCTTCGAGGATATTGATGCTTACACGGAAAATTGATGAATATCGAAGCGATTTCCCTATGTTCTTTTTTCCTCCATCCCAGATGTGTTCGATCGCACAAACGGGGAAACAGACCTGAAGGTCACCATCACACGTTTATAAACATTCGCTTTTAAATCTACCCGAGTTCGTTTACTGCGTGTGCGTCCTTTTACCTTCCTTGAAAAACCGATTCTATCGTTTAATGGTAATAAATGCTAAAGCCTAAAAATTGCGATGGTGAATGGAAAGAAAGCTCTCACTACCCTTTCGTTTATGTATTACCATGAAACTTTTTCATTACACTGATGTATGCAGTACAAATTATGAACACGTGTGACCTGGTGTGGCTTCATCTGACACTCGTGACGTTTCTTACGCCCCTTTATCTAGAATAGTGTGCTTGAAATGTACCCAATTTTCCGTTCTGCGTGTTTGTGGGCCTCTTATGCGTCACACGTGCAAAGCGGACAGCTTTTCAAAATGAGTGAGCTTCGCGGATGTCCTTTTTGTATGAGGGAGGATATGATATTTGGAAGTTTCAAAACAAACTAGCTCTGATCTTTTATGGGAGTGGTTGTAATATCTCGGTTCTTTATAGCATGCCTAACCGATAGGCCGCATTCAAGGCTGGCTGAAGGTCATTTAGAAGCAGATGTTTACATGGTCACGGTACGTCTTTCGCCGCAGAATTCTGGCGATTCCGTGGAACGCCCCAAACGAACTATGTTCAATTATGACTCATGCTTGAAGCACATCCGTGAAGTCCGCGGCATACCAGCAAAGGCGTCACGGTGTATCCGCTGGTTCAAATCGTAAACCCCCATCTTTTCAGCCGTCCTTATGAATGCTTGAGAAAGATATGGTGCGGGCAGCATCGCTTGAACGGTAATTGTGATACGATCGCTTGAACTGTTAATATTTTTTACAAGATTCAGGTGTGCTTCAGGTTCTTCAATGCCTGCTAAAAGCGACGGTTATTTCCGTCCACACTGTTTTCCTTTTAAACAGACCAGCGCTTCGGAAGGTCACAATACTGTGAGTTGTCATTAAATGGCCGGAAAATGGACGCATTTGTTGAATTTTGTCTCGGCCAGCTTCCAGATATCATCAGCTTTGCCTTTGGGTTGGGGTGTAGTAGTACTTTGAGGTCAGATTTATCGTGCGCCAATATTTGACGCACAACATTTTCAGCGACGTGTCAAACGGGTTTATTGCAATAAAGGATTATGTTTGAGTACTGAGTAGTACTATAGTTATTGTTGTCACCCACTGACAATTCCTGCTTGTTTGACTCATGCGTGCAAGTCCGGCAAGTCCGACCATTCACACGTTGAGGGTATCCAGTGGCGACTGACGAAGAGCTGTGCTGTTACCGATAACAATTCACGGTGTGGGCACTGGGCACTCAGGGCAGGGTCTAATGGAGTGCAATCCACTCAGCAACCTATATGTGGCTTTGCATATCAGTGGAGTGCGTTTAAGTGGCTTGTTTTCAACGTTCGCGCTGATTCGATGACTCCAATCTCGGCTTCACTCGGTTCGTTTACACCAACCGAGTGCTCTGATGGTCACGCAAATGGTCGTCTGGTAAACGTTTTACGATCCAGCCTTACAATATTTCACACACGGCTTCGCTGTTGCAGCGTAAACATTATACATTTTACAAATATTCGAGATGCGTCTTTTGATCCAAGAGCTGATATTTGAAATAGTGGAAGGTATTCTGTATGTTTTATTGAGACATACGCGTGTGACACGACACTGCAGGAATTATTCATCAGACATAAGATAAAAAGAAATTAATAAATATATAACCATTCATAGTTTATTCTTCGTGCAAAAGCCAAGTGCCTCGCTTATGTACAACCATGTATAGGACTCATCAATAACAATCACAACTATAGCTTTATTCTCTGGAAGCGCACCGGCCTACGAAGTACGAACCATACCTAACTACCCGACAGTTGGGATAGTTGGGACACTGCAGTTGACAGCTTGCATAACATTACCACAACTGATTGCGACTTCGCCATTACGCGCCTGTGGAGATCTCTGCACCAGACTCTATCGCTCCACTCTACAGACCGGTCACGTTCCGAATCCAGTCAGCAGACGGGGCCACGGCCACGTTGATGTCAGGGAATTGTCCACTGCTGCATCCTATCCCTCCGACGGCCAGACCAACCGCCTGCCACCGGACCACGCCTCCGCGCGTGCTGCGGTGCATGAACAGCGAGCCCTGGTCGCCCTGGTTGATGGCGCACGTGAACTCAGCGGTCGGCTGCGGGAACGAGCTGCAGAACGAGTTGGATCCCAGGTACATCTCAGAGTAGTCCACCTGGCTGTACTTAAGCTCGCACTCGTTCAGGCCCACCACGTCCATGCGCGCCCACTTGAGCGCCACCGGGGAAGCTTCGTCGCCCAGTTTGGGGGCGCCCCAGCCGGCGAGGATGAGCTGTCCGGCGGGCACGATGGCTCGCTCGGGCAGGTCATCCGGCTCCGGCAGGCAGATGGCGCTGACGGCAGAGCTCAGGGGGATCGGCGTGGCCGTACGTAGCAGCGCCATGTCCTCGGAGAGGCCGAGCGGCGGCTTGAACGCCGGGTGTCTTACAATCTCCGCGATAGGGACAGAGAGCAGCGGCGCAGAGAGCGGCTTGCCACCCTGACGCGTGACATCCAGCGTGCCAAGCTCGACCTGTAGCTGGGCGTCCGTCTCGGCGCAGCTGGCGCCCGTCAGGATCCATCGCTCGGAGAGCACGGCACCGGCGCAGAGGGGCCTGCTCTGCACACCCTGTCGGTTATACACCGCCGCCATCCAGGGCAGCTCTCCCAGGTTCCTCACACGGTCGGCGCCCATCCGTGCCGACGGGTTGAAGGCGCTGACACCGCAGTGGGCCAGCCGCAGCGGCACCGGTAGTATCGGGGACGTCACCAGCCTCGCACTGGCAGCTGTGGAGATGGCCGGCAAAGCGGGTGGCGCCGGCGGCGAGGGCGGCGGTGCCAGCATGTCTGCGGGACAACACACCAGGTTGACGGTGCCGTCTCGACCGCAGATGTACTGCTGTGCGGAGATGAGGCCGATCTCCCGCAGTGTCAGCGCCAGCGCCGGGCAGTGCTGCAGCTTCAGACACCGGCCCGCCTTCAGATCGGGTGTGACGCAGGTCAGGGTGGGCGTGCTGGGCGGCACGGGGGCCGGAGGGGACGGCTCGGGCGGGGTGAGCACCTCGCGCACCCAGGCGGCCGCCGGCGCCATGGACACCCCCACGTCCGGTCGCGCCTCGCTGTTACAGTCCAGCTCGTCGACACTGAGACCTGCCACAGACCACACCTCGGCTCCGCCGATGTTGTCGACACTCATCCAGATGCCGCCGCGGTCCTTACTGCTGAACCGACACGGCTCGGGAGGCACGAAGGCTGCCGAGTCGCCTGGCCTCGCCGCCGACTGACGCAGACACTTGGTGAAGCGTCTCTGGTCAGCACTCCACCACTGGTTGTTCTGGTCGAGCGTCGGCTCTTCGCAGCTGGTACACAACGCGTCGGTCTTCAGCTCTGGCGGACGCAGGCCAGGCACTGTGTGTCTCGCCTCGCAATCTTTCTTTCCTACGACTCGCATACGAGCCCACTCGAGTGCGAACGGACGCGTCTGACCCGGCCCTCGCTCGGCCACCTGACCGGCGAAGATGACGCGCGCGTCGTCCACCAGTGGTGTCTCGCGCACACAGATCGGGGACACCCGCGCCGAGAAGGTGATATCCTGTCGCGTGCGCAGCAGAGCCAGGTTCTGCGGGTGGTTGTGCCCATCCGGGTTTGCTCGATGCTCGATGCGCTCGATCTCAATACGCGGTATGGGTATCTGCGCGGTCGGATTCGCGCGGAAGAAGTACTCGCTGGCCGGGTACACCTCGAGCGTGGTCAAGGCGGGCGCACACTCGGCCGCCGTGAGGATCCAGCGCGCCGAGACGATGACACCCGTGCAGGGTCGCCGCGGCGGCCGGTCAGACGCCACCACCACGATCCAGGGCAGGTCGCCGTCGCGCACGGCCCCGCGCGTGCTGCGCAGCTCGGGACGAAATGTTGTCCGACCGCAGGCGGGCGCTTGCATTCCGCACAGCGGAGGCCGTGGGCCGGTGCCGCCCTCCTGATCGAACTTGACATGGCACATGATCCAGTCTACAAACCCGGAGAGTTTGGCGTAGATGCCGGCCCGCCGTCCGCAGCCCTGTTTATCGGCGGTTGAAAGCAGACCGTAGGCGATCACCCGGCCGGCCGGCTGGTCCAGACAGGTGAGCCCGGCGCCGGCGTCTCCGCGACACGAGTGCAGCTGGCCATGGCGATTGGGGCCCGAGCACACAGTCCGGTTACGCACGAAACGATCGGCAAACACCTCTGGGGCCGTACAGAACTCATCCGAGGCCAGCGGCACGGCGTCGCTGCGCAGCTCGTTCGGCAGAGTATCCGAACTGTTTGCGCGACCCCATCCGGCAATCTCACACTGCAGGAAGATGGCGTGTCCTGCGCCGGGCACTGGCAGACAGGCCGGCTGCACGTGCGAGCTGAACACGAGGGGCGCCGCCAATCGTAGCAGGGCCACATTATCAGCCAGCTTGGCGCCGTCGCGCGCGTGGTGCACGTGGATGTCAGTGACGGCGTAGTCGTGCTCACCCTCGTCGATAACGCTGATGCGCACGTCGGCCACACGTACAAACACCTGTGAGGGCAGCGTGTTCCAGACGCAGTCAGCGGCTGTCAGCACGTGCCACTGGCTGACGATGAGACCCGAGCAGCGGTGCTCCTGGTGGCCGCTCGGCTCGCGCGCCACGAGTCGCACGTGCCACGGGAACTGGCCCGTGTAGGCGGGGTTCTCCACTGGATGTCCGGCGAGCTGCGGCTGGTGTCCGGCCGGCGGCGGCACGGGCCGACGGCCGCAGTCGGCCGGCAGAAGGTCCGGGTGCAGTCCGTTGGCCGTCGGCAGCGGCGGCAGCACCACCGGCGGCGGCGCCGTGGCCAGCATCGGCCGCTTGGCAGCCGTCGGCGCCGACACCAGCAGCGCCAGCACGAGCGCGGTCACCGGCGGAGGCGGGCGCATGGCGACGGCGGCGGGCACGCTGCACGGGGCTCACCGTCAGACTGAGCGGCGGCCCGGCGGACGGACCGGCCGGGCGCCCCTCCTCCGCCCACCGCCGCGCCGCACAAACCCGTCCGGCCTTGGAAATCCCACAGTCCAGTTGGAACCGGGAAGGCCCGCGTCGAACCCACATACAACAAACTGCAGATCGTGACCGGAGGGCACTGAACGCACAGCGGCCGTGACCGTGACGGCACGTCTCCCTGTCAGATATTTACGGTGTAAAGCGAGCCGACCGACAGCTATACGTGTTCAGCTCCGACATCAGCTGATGTTTATGTCAGGCCGTGTTGAGCGGAACGGTTGCTCTTTTAGTTTGTTTGGAAAATTTTCAGCAGCGCTACGGAGTCGCACGGTGTCTTCCATTACGTAATCGTGCTCGATCTCTCCACGGTAACCAGTCGGCGATGTGGTGTGACATCCCTACCTATGTACGCATTCCTATCTCTCAGGAGCACGGACTCATTGTCATGGTTCGTATCCGATATATTTATCTGACCCTCTGACTGACTTAAAATTGGCAGCCAAACCGTATGAATGAATGAATGAACGAACGAATGAATGCATGAATGTCAACTTCCACGCTCGTTTCCATAACGTCGGAAAAGGGAATGTTAGGAAAAGGAAAGCAAACCGTTATGAAAATGGAGACCCCCAACACACACAGTTACACAATTCCTTTACTTACGTACTCAGGCTCGTTACCATGCAGTAGAAAGCTCGTGAGAAAGGACGGAGTACGGACCCCTTGCCCAAATTCATTTCCCTTCGGTGCTTTGCGCTGCAAATATATTTCGTACGTATTCTTTCAGATAACGTAAAATTATTGTGAAGAGAATAATCACGATTCACGCATTGGAAACTTCTGAAGACGGCGGGGAAAGCCGGAGGCGTACCTATCAGTCGCAAACCGCGTAGCGACGCATTGCGCTTAGCGACTGACGGTATCTAGGTATACACCGTTAAGTCACCGTCGGCAGTACCGATATGCTGGTATCCGGTGACGTAAAGCCCATGTTGGCGGCCGATTCCAATTCATTCTTCTGCATATTCTTACGAGCTGCTTTGAACTACCGCGGGTATCCCCTCTCCATCACCCATGAAGACTGAGAATGAAACACGGCTCTTGACGTCACTTTCAGCCTGGAAACCCAGGACGACCCTGGAGACCTGGAAACGCCCCCCGTATTCCAGAAACCCGGTGCTTATCTGCTTGGCCGGCGGCCTTGTCACCGGGACAACGGCTTACAAGTTACATGTAAATCGGCGCGGACTTCCAAGATCTCAGGATTATACTCGAATGCACGAATGTTCGAGGTGTTTTAGCGGTTCGTTTGCGGTTGTTGTTGTGAGTGGCCGATGCGTTCACCATGAGATGCATCGGTAGGATGATGTAATTTTTTATGAACTGCGTTGTTGCTTTCGCTGAGAAGTTAAAACGACGGCTTTAACTTGCACCGGACCCATCGGTTTTCTGCATAAATTCCTACGCCCTCCGAAAATGGGGCGGTGTGTGCGACCGTTCTCCTCGCCTTTTCGGCCATTGCGGTTAGTGGAGTTCATACAGCTTCACGAAGAAAAGAAAGTGCGCCGTTACCAGGCGCGGTGACTGGGATCCAATCTTTAGGTATCAGGTCAGTCGATGAGGTAAGAAGGTCTTATGAGGTCGGGGTCATGTTTGCCAACGTCCAAAAATGGTCCCAGAGCTGGTAACGTTGCACCATTGCGTTTGTAATGTCAAGCTGCGTCGAATGATCTGATTTTTGTTTGGGGAGGTCAATTTGGGGTTTGGGTATCGCCGAGGTCAAGATAATGTCAAGGCAGGTTAGGTCAGAAAGTTGGGCAAAGGAAGGCGTGGCCCATTATACGATTTGGGTCTTTTGGGAGCTCATTTTGAGGCCCGACTGCCGCTATACTCTGAAGCTAGCCGTTAGCATGTGAAGTCCAGGAGCTGAGTGAGAGAAGGGTATAGGTAAAACGTCCTCGCATCACGCCATTGACCCTCCTTTACTCACCAGGCATATAACATATGCTAATAGAATAGTGTATAACATAATCAATGTGCATCCTTATAAGTGATCGCTTATGTGCTGTTTGTTTGTTTGTTTTGTTGGGTTAGGCCCTTTCGGTCGACAAGACCATTGCAGAGCCGGAAGGATGATAGGAATTAGGGGGAGACATTGGTCTGGGCGGGCACCCTAGTGAGTCGCCGGGGCTGAGCCCGTCCAGAGGACAGGTCACCCAGCCCCAAGGCACTCACTGCACCCGGCTACGGGGTGCGCTCCCTCAGGAGCAGCGGTGTCGCTCCAAGGGAGCAGCCCGCATGAGATAAAGTTACCTGTCCAGCCCGGAGGGTGGTTGCGGCGTGGAGGAGAAGGATTTCTGTATCCTGAGGATAGAAGCATGGAAAGGTGCTTATGTGCAGGCCATCACGATCACCTAGGGTGTTGGGTTGGACATTCCCTCCCGTCAGACGGTCGCAACTTCGCTGTCGGGGCGACATCTCTTGGCGAAGCAGAGGTAACTGAAGGTGCCAAGGTTGGCCGCGTATGCTCGCTCGCCACCCCGGTACGTGCTCAATGAGGGTATATACCTAGATGAGCACTGCTCAGCTAGGTAAGGGATAGCGAATGTGAGTATTCCGATGTTGAGCCTCTTTTTAAGCGAAAATGTCATTTGCTTCCGCTATAGCGGCGAACCTGCTTAAAAAAACTAAACCACTGTATTACCAACACACATAGGTATTGTGTGTTGGTACCTATTGGTATTGCTATTGGTATTGGCTATCGGCATAAAGAGAACCGTTTATACATACTTCATATTTCATAGCTCATAGCTTAGGTACTCATTTAATCTTTGTTTTAAAGTTTAGCCATTCGAGATGTTGTTGATCAAGTTATGGTTGATAATAACAACTTTGACTATAAGACCACTATTGATTGGAATCATCACCCTGACCCGTCCTTGCCTTTCTCAGGATAAGCCCACCCGCATCCCTCACCCTTCCCTCTCCGGGCCGGTGCCCCCCCCCCCTTCTCTCCCCCCCCCATCAGGCAACCGGTGCAGCGGTGAGGGCAGGCTCAATATACACTGAGGGCAGGTCCTCGATGGACTTCACCCTCTCCATGGCTGGGTGACCGTTTGAGCGGCAGGGGGGGGGGGCTGTCCCGAAGGACATTTCCGTGACTCCGTCCCACTAGGATGGTCTCTGCCGCTTCGGGGCACCGTCGGTGGTCCACACAATGCAATGCCTACACGCTTTCCTATCATCTCACAGATCATCAATGGCCCTTGCAGGCAGAAAGAGCTTACTCCCAATTAACACCCTCGCCCGCACATGGGGGGGGGGGGGGTGCCACCCCCAGGCAGTCTTTCTGCTCTGCACTCAACATTTTTTAGCTAGAAGCCTGATTTTTGGTATAGCTGCTCCTCTATCCTTTCTTGATGTCCACTGAAAATTTCAAGTTTCTGTGGTTTTTTCAGGTCATGTCATGACCCAAATGACCAATTCTCAACATCTTGCGTTGGCTATGGGCCTTGGGAGCTTTTGACACCTTGATGTCGGCCTTTTTTGCCAGTCTTACCTCCCACCTATTATGGAACATGTTATTCGACGATGTGCAGAGGTCAAGGTCAGGGTCAAGGTCAACCTAGGTCATCTAAAATAATTGCGTTTCAGGCAAGCTGAATTTACTTTTCGTGAAGTTTTTTGACTGCATTTTTGGTAAAAGCTTCTCAGATCATGATTTCATGTAATACGGACACATAAACACTCGGTGCACACATCAGCATACACACAGACACACACAGACATACAAACACATATCATTGACCTTGACCTAACTTGACCTGAAATGACCTCAGCAGCAAAAATCTGGTCGGGTAGTGTGACAAAGAGGTTCTAGCTGGCTTGGCACCAGAAAACGGCATCGTCATCGGTAGGTAGGTATAGATAAGCAGCGCTTTTGATATCCAACGGTGACCCAAAACAGCAACATTTTTTTGTTTGACCTGACCTGGAAGGTCAATGACTGACCTTAGAAGGTAGATATGGGTATCATTGAATTTGTCTCTTCCCAAAGAATCTTTTTGGTCCTTACCGCGAAGCTCTATCTCCAACAGGAACGAAATGGCGCGGGGGTGGCAACCCCCCCCCCCCCATGTGCGTTCTAGGATGGGAAAATGGCATGTGCGGGCGAGGGTTAAACAAAGCAAAAAAAAAAACACTGTTAAGAAGTCAAGTGGCTTTGTTAATTGGTCGTTAATGGTTAAAGCTGTAGTGGAGTTTGAAGATAGCTTTTTACTTTTAAGTTCCTATCCCTTTGCAATTTATAATCTAATGTAGGCATACGAAACTTCTCTTAACGTGAATTTAATTGTTGTTCTTTTCGATTTTTATTTTTTTGAACGCGGAAAGATGTGAGCTGAAACTGCTTTGAGCTTAAATGTTTGCCCATTCGATATGGGTGGAGGAGTCGCTATGAAAAAAATCCGCGACCTTTTTTCGAATGCGATATAAAAGCTGCCTCAACACCCGGGCTGCCATCGCCTGCATATCAGTTATTCATATCACCCCATCAGAAATGCCGTCTTATCTTCTGCCGTCGGTTTGCGTCGCCTTTGAACGTAGCAACTCTTCAGTCTGTGATAATCAGCGCCGGAATCCCGAATCATTGCGAATATCTGCGAACCACATGAAAGGCTCTGACACAACAAAGGAATCTGCCGGGCGGTCTAATCCATTGGGCGTCGCCGAGGCACGTCGGACGGGCGCCGACTCCCCCCCCCCCCCCTCCCGCTCAAGTTTGGTGGGCCGATGTTCCGAGCCATTGGACGCCGTCAGCGGCGCAGCGCACCGGATTGGATTGATCCAAGTCGGCCGCGTCGGAAACGTCGATCTGCGTCGAAGCCGACGATCTCAGCCGTCGGCCGTCTCCGGTCTCGATCTGGCGAACAGTCCG